GCAACTGTTGCTGCTCTAAAAACTATATTTTTATATATTTTAAATACAAATTCTAATCCTGTTCTGATTTTATTTGTTTTCAAAATTCTATATATGTTTTGAAAAAGGAATTGTTATACTAAAATCCTAAAGGCCACCTCAGTTCCCCAACACGCTTAGAAAGGGAGGGGTGAGCTGAGGGGTATTTAGTTGGTTGATATCTGCAATAAACCCATAAGTGCCACTAAATCGTACACACTGTTCCTTTTAATGCTTTTGTTCATCATCTGTGGTTTGGATTTCCACGTAGTCGAAGAAATAAAGTGCATCCTGGCCATCGTTTAGTGATGAATGCGCAGTCAGTTGGGCTGTAATGAATATCTTTCTTTTTTTTTTAAAGCTTTGAATGTCTGTCGTCATATTTTATGACATTGTGTCTCTGCGTGTTTGAGAGTGAGGTAGAGAGGTGAAGACAAGGTGGACTATTGCATGCAGTGTTTCTGTAAGTAATTGAAAACTAACTCAGAATGCTGCTTTGTCGCCCACCCGACCGCTTACCCGAACCCGGCCGGCCAGCGGGTTGTATCTAGATTCGATGGGTCAACCTGGGAATCAAATTCAATAGTATAATACCCTAAACCTACTAATAATATTAGTGTAGCCTAATCTTTATCTGCAACTGAGCAGAAACATGCCCTAACCATGATGAATATATATGCAAAAAGAAGAAGCGTCGCATTCAAATAGAATTTGATTGTCAAGATTATAAACTAGGCTTCAAAGATTCAGACTATTCGATACCGCCATAGCTGTCGGCACTGAATGGTAGAGGACATTGTAACATCGTCTGGTATTGATTTTTATAAATTGCATCCACATTTTGGCAATTTCTGCCATTTTCTGGATTTAACAGTTGATTCCATTCCCCCCTGCAATTCAGTCCATGTTTTTCTGTATCGCAGAAATCCTAGGACCCTACTGATACCAGGTGGGGGATGGGAACTCTGTCCTTCTGTCAGTCTGTCTGTCTGGCAGCAGTGTGGACACTTAGTGTGTTGCTGCCTCTGATTAATGGGCCTGATGTTCAAATGCACAGTCGCCAGAGATCTTCTTGGCCTGCTCTGCTCCTGCAGGCTGCGCTGTTTAAACTGCAAAATGAACAAATGAATTACCCATATTTATTTTTGTCGTGGGGTGGACACGGAGCAGGTTGTTACCTGATGAGCTACTATCTCATTCCTTGTCTTCAGTTTTTATGAAAGTTAAACAGAGCATGGGTTGTAATATTAGATCATGTGTGAGGTTGCAAATTATCCAACAGCCAGCAGACTGATGCTGTGATCATGTAGCTGCAGACTTTGTCTTGTTGACCAGGCGGCTAATTAGCATATCCAGGTTCACTAGTGTAGGTTTGTCTTGGTTTCTTTACAGGTGTATAAAGTTATTAATAGCTTAATGGTCTTTAACCACATACTTTGTCTTAATATAACACGTTTTCTCAGCAAAAAAAGAAATTGGCAGTTTGAAAATAAGAGTGATGTGAATCTAGCTTAATTTTTTCAGTCTGAAAACTGAAAATGCACCAATGAAAATGTTCTTGACCGATTCCGTTAATAATAAACTTGCTGATTCCGACATTCTTTCTCAAAGTGATAATAAGGTCATCCTATGTCTGCCAGGTCAAGCTATAAATGGGCTAGTATCATGCAGCCTCAAAGTTTGTGCTAACGTTCATGGTCCCCAGAAGATGAACTGATGACCTCTTGACTTTTTATTTATCACAACCCTGGTTCTGGACGTCTAAATCACTGATTCAAATAGGGTTGGTGTTGACGGCCATTACCCTGGTTGGTTTGGAGGTGGGATAAGCTACCTAGCTATATCCGTGAAAAATTGTGACCAAAGAAATGGTGACAAAAATAGCAACAAGCATGGCTGAGATGGGTGCCCCAGTACAGGTTGTCGACTCACAAAAATAACCCTTAAAGGGCCGGTCTGAGGTCGTTCTATATTTTTCTTTATGTCAACAAATCCTTCCTGGCTTGCCCAGAGATTGCAGAATGGAAATTGACTATCTCTTTGTATGTGATTGTAATTCTTTTTCTACAGGTCCCTGATAAATAGACCTATTAAACTAAATTTCTCTCTCTGTCTATGGCACTCAGCCCAATTACTATTGGTTCCTACTGAAGCCGTAGATCTATTAAAAAAATGTTCTTTTTCTTAAAAAACAACAACCAAGTAATTTCCTTAAACAGCGGGGTGCTGCAGTTTTTAGGAAATGTTACTCAAACAGGAGGACACAGTGCATTTGTTGGGACTATTTTCTAAACTACAGTGTTTGTATTGAAACTAATGAAGAAACGTGTCACCCTGTTGCTCAACATTTTCTGGTACTTGCTTCTCAGTTGTAAGAATGTGTTACATTTCTTTGTCTTATTTGATAGTTGATTGAACGTCTTTGTGTCTTGAACTGTTGATCAGACGGAGCAAGCATCACCCCGGACCAAAGAAAATACTAATGGTGTTTTTATGATATTCAGACATTCTTAATGGGGCAAAAATGGCGGGAAAAGCTTGTGTTTAGCCCTGAACCAGTAATGTTAACTGAGGTTGCATTGACTTGCATTATGATGCGTTTAGGCTCTATTCAGTAGTGAAAATGTCTTTTTGACAAGAAACTTTAATAAATATAGTTGTTTGAAGGTGTTTTCACAGCAATATAAAAACAAATTTGAGAGAGAATCGTGACCTGTATAACTATAACGCGAGCTCTAAGCAGCTAAGAATACATAATTAAAATGCAAATAACCACTGTAGCTGACAATTACAAAGTAAGAGGATAACCTTTTTCACAGTTAACACTTTGAGACAGTTGAAATAGTTTTTGGGGACAGTGGTGAAAGAAAATTGCCTGCAGTCTTGTCAATTATAGTTCTTAGAAAGAAATCAACAGAAATCGGCAGGTTAAACTTCAGAATCGACAAAAAGAAAATTGCTATGGGTGTATATCCAGTGCTATTATTTGCATGTTAAAGCTAGATTGTGGAACTTTGCCTCCCCCTGCTAGCAGTGAAAGTACTTAAAATAGTATTATTTGACTCTGAATTTGAAAAAGTGAACACTGTCGACTTGCTCATGAGGTATGTCTGCAGTTGAGCTCGCCATATCTCCCCCAGGAGAGCTCTTTCGTTCCTTAGAACGCCAAATTTCCTTTTCAATCTGGAGCATTCAAGGCCAAGTACAATAACTTCAGGTTTGTTTGAGTTTAACATTAGAAAGTTGCAGGTCATCCAGGTTTTTTATGTCCTTAAGATATGCTTGGAGTTCAGCAAATGTATTAGTTTTGTCTGGCCTGATCAACAGATATAACTGGGTGTCATCTGCATAACATTGAAGCACAGACGTCTTTCACGTGTACAAACGGGAGTTCAATCTGATAAATAGGACTGAAACCAGTTTAGTGCGGTTGGTTCCTTCAATGCTAATTAACTGTTCCAGTCTCCGTAATATGATACTGATTCACGACTGCTTTCTCAAGGACCCTGGAGAGGAAGGGGCTGTTTTTTTTTTTTTTTTTTTAAAGAAGAGGTTTAATTACAGCTACTTTTTAGGACTGTGGTACATGGCCTGTTAGTAAAGACAGATTGAAGTATATACAGTAAGTGCTAACTAAGGGGAAGACTTCTGTAAGATTCCTTGTCTGGGTGCGTTCTAAGAGAAAGGTAGATGGCTTGGATAGACATTGTTTAAGTCAATTACTGAACTCGTTTGGCAAGGGCTTGAATGTAATGTTGTCACCTCAGAAATAAATGTGCATCATCTGTGATCTACCACAAATATACCAGTCAAAGTAGGAATTATATCACTTCTATTAAATGCCCCTATTTTTCTGGGCGACGCCCACGGTTCTCAGTAAAAATAGACAGTGAGAATGATCGGTTGAGGGCTAGCCATTGCCGCAATCAAACATTTATTATTATATTTCCTTCCATACTTTGTTTCTGAAATTGCTGATTCCTTTGACCTTTTTTTGGTGGTGGTGGTGAAGTGAATAAAAAAAACGATATAATATTAGGCGGTTTCCCTCCCTCGAGGCTACCATGTCAAGTTTTTGTCTTGTTTTTTTCTGCTGGAAGAGGATCCCAGGGCGTTGTTTCTACTGTCTCAAAGGTCCTGGTTGCCATGTTGGCTAACGAAGCTTGTTTAGATTGAGGGTATAAAGGTGTAAAACTGGTGCTGAACTGAGAGGAGTTTTAACGAGCCAGCTGGGGTCGTTCTCCCAGCAGATCATGGAGCTTCAGTGTTTCTTTATATTCTCTGCTTTCTGCTGGTCTGGCTATGTGAGGTGTCTGATTACACTGCTGCTGACAGTAAACTAGCTTCTCCCCCAAGCATTGATCTAGCAATTAAGAAATCCCCAGCCTGTGTGTTCACAGCTGTAACAGTGCATGTTCATGTTAACATTTTTAAAACATGGTCCACGGAAGTATGCGAACGCAAATGCAAGAGAAGCCCGTAGTAAACAAACATGGCGTCTGAGGAGGAACACGTACTGCTGTACTTACTGCACAGATGAAAGAAAAAAAATAAAACAAACATTGGGATGTTTGTCTGAATGAAGAGGCAATGAAGTGTCATAAATATGCAAGTGAATACGGGCATTCTTTCAGGTGACACACTTCAGAATGGAACAAAGTGTGAAATCGATCTTCGAAGTGTCTGCTTCGCATTTATTTTTAAAAAATGGTCCTGGGCCTAGAGGTTAAGGCGTCCATCTCTTTTTCTTCCTCATTTCCTGTCATGTCTCCGTTGTCGCTATCCAATAAAGTCATGAAAATTCCGAACGATATAGATCTTTTTTTTAACATGCATTTAGAGGTAATGAGAAGTAAATTCCTCTTCTTTTGAAAGAATGGAGACCAAAAGGAGTTGCAACAACATATAGTTGCAAAATAACAAAAAAGGTTCTTCTACCATTTCTGTGATTCAGTTTAACCAAATGCTTTCTGTATTCCCAGCAGAACTAGAAACATGGCTGAGGCGGCGCGAGGTCCAGTGGTTTGCCGACCTTTGGCATTTGCCAATGAAGACCGGGCAGTTCACTCCTGGTCTCGGATCTCGTCGGCGGGGCAGAACGTCCTCCTGGATGCTCTGAAGATCCTCAGCCCGATGTCCCGCGACCTCTCGAGCAGTGAAGAGCTGGTCACCTTCCTGAAGGAGCTGGGAGAGGAGGGCCACACGCCCACCGTGCTGCGCAGCAAAGATGTGTACGGCTACCGCTCCTGCACGAACCAACCGCTGACCACTGACATGCTGAAGCCACAGAGCAGGAACGTCAGACCCACCGCCAAGAGGAGGGGAAGGAAGCCCCCGGTCAAGAAGAGAGAGGTGCACCCGTCCTGGAACGCCTCTGAGAAGAGTAACCCCAAGATTCAAGGGATCCGCCCTCCGGAGCTGCTGGTGGACCGTCGGGCCATCATCTGCAGCAGGACACCCAGTCGGACTGTAGAGATGTCGCAGGCGCTGGAAGTGCGGCCGTGCCTCAGACTGACTAACATTGAGGGCCTATCTGGCTTCCATACGGCCAGACTCCAGATCCACACTTCCTGGGACTCATCCTCTGAGGCACCCTCTGTTGCCTTTTCACAGCAACAACACCCTCCAACGCTTTCAGGAATACCTTTGCAGCCTTCTCACAATGGTGGTGGGGCGCCCACCAAAGCTGTGGCCTTGTACAGCCAGAAGAGCCTCTCCTGCCCCATTCGATTGGACGGCGCCCTCATCGGAGATTCTGCACCGGTCTTCTACGCAAATGGACGGGCGTTCCCAGAGACTTGCACAGAGCTCACCAGCAATGGCTGGAGGAGCAACGGCGTCCACCGAGATGGTCGGGGCCCCAAGGAACTAAACATCCCCACCCGGCAGAGAAACGGCTGGAAGGACAAAAACAGTCATAGGTGGAAAGTTGTAAAAGTGGATGACTCTCGCTCTGTGGCCGAGGCTCGCAGAAAAGCGCAAAAGATCCTACAGGCCAACCTGTCTCCAGTGATTCAGATTCACCCTCTCAATTATGTGCTGAGAAACTTCAGATACCAGAATAAGTGACAATACACCCCACAACCATTGTTTCATTGAGCAGATGTTAGTGTTTTACATCCATTAGACTGTTCCTGGCTGAGCCCCAGTGTTCATAGCAGACGTCTTACATGGTTTTTGTGATCTCTGCTGTGTGTTGGCGGTAGAGAAGTCAGAGTCTGTCTGTGGAAGTTCTGGTTCCTGACAGGGGCACTCGGGATTGAAAAGCATTTGAAGTCAGGTGAAGCTTTTCTCAGCAGGCTGGGAAAAGACTATCGGCCGAATGCTGGTACATTTTCACGGTCTACTTTAGTTTACACTATACAATACTTCAACCAACCATCATTCTGCTTTGAGTTGCCAGCCTGCTAGCCGATGTTGTGGATGTAGTTTAGGACGCAGCATCCGCTGTGACTGTTGGGTTAAAGGTGAATTTCCTGCCCTTCAACAAGGCACTGGGTGCTCACAGTTGTTTAAAAGAGTATTTATAACTCATTTGAAGTATCCCGCTGTTTTGTTGAAAAGTATCTTTTACTTGTAGGGCTTACAAACAGTGCTGTCAGTCTGCAGCGCCCCATTTTCCACTGGGAAGAAGGAGAAAATCCCATTGCACAGATGAAGTGGTGGATGAGCAAGGCAGGTGTCCAAAGCCTTCAGACGAGCGGACGTGGTGGTTGGTTGGTCCCAGCAAAACAAATGAACTAAACAAAAGGAGGGATAAAAGAGTGTTTAGTTTGTCTTCCTTTTTTTGTATTTTTGTTGTGTTTCCACTGGAAATTGGGAAGGCTCTCAGAGCGAGTGCAGCAGGGAATCAAACCCGTGGCCCATACAGAGATAGATTAATATCTGGATGATTTGTTTGTCCTTCACAAAGTGTTCCTTTGGTTTAGTTTATCCACACAAGGAAACAAAAGACTTATGGAGTATTTTCAACTGTTGGGGGATTTGATGTCTCACAGTAACATGAACATGAATCAATGAACTGCAGGGTAGGGGACTTGGAGGAATTCATCTTTAATTATTAATTCTGGGAAAACATTGAGAATTATGAGATAACAGAATTCTGTTTTCAGGCTTAAAATTTCTCATTATCAAACTCAATCTCTGAATCCTTTCTTTACAAACTTCCGACTAATTTCAGTATTTACTTTCCAAATTACGGCTTTTCCCCTTAAAATTCCTCCATTCAATGACGTGGCCCTGGTCCACCACCATAAGTTTAAGGAGTTTTACACCAGATACAAAAACAACCCTCAGCTGTCGGTCTAGCGCTGCTCAAGATTTACTTTAGTCCAATACATTTCTGTCCTTCACAAGCAACCAACTGCCATTTGGAGACTTGATGTAAGGCATTTGTTTGGCTGATTTAAATATTTGTGGTGAAATTTGTTAACTTGAGCAGCAGGACTGTTTTGTTTCCTGAAACTGCAGCATCAGAAAGTTTAATCTCCCATCAGAACTCGTCTGTGCCCTGTTGAGTCTTTGGCAGGAATTGCACTTTGAGAGTGCGACAGTGCGTCATTGTCGCCCGTTTCCTGAACGTACGTCATTAATATTATTTTCCTGCATCACGTAGAAAATATGTGAAATAACATCAAAAATTTGGTTTGACTTTGAGACCACACTGGTTTTTGTAACAGGTGCTAACTTTGCAACGTTGGTGCTGAATTAAATGACAAGAATGTCGTAATTTTTCTGTTTTTCTAGTTCAGATTAGAGCATTGAGGAGCCGGGACTTCAACTGAGTTATTTTCTGTGGGACTGATAGCACTGTTGCCCTTTGCAGGTTGGGATGAGCATGCTAAACTGCCGTGTTCTTTCCAAAGAATTTCTACTGTGAGGAGCCACCTGAATCCATTTTCATGCTATCATCTGTGAGGAACTCCTGTGATTTCCCCGAAAAGTTTTGTTTGCGATGTTTGACCACATTGCACGAGACAAACGTTTGGTTTGACCACAGAAATCACTTAGTCCACGTACTAGCTTGTGATGGAGCGTTTACTGATCTCAAGACCATTCAATGTGAATGAAAGCTCTGGAAAAAGCCAGTAAGGCGACCTTTTAAGTTGTTTTTTGTTGTCCGATTTCATTTCTATTCTTTTTCCAAGAAAAAGAAAAAAACAAGTATCAAGCATATTGAATACTTCAACCACCAAATATTTCAGTCAAATGTAAAACAGAAATAAAATGACCATCGGATCAGTAAAATGACGACCCTTGTTTCAAAAACTACAAAAAAAGAGATAAAAAAAATAAAACAGAATTCTCTGTCATGTTTAAATGCTGTTGAAGCTGGTACGGACCACTTGGTAGAAACAACTAACCAAATTTAAGGTGGAAATCTGTGCTTTCTGGTTCAAAGTCCATGCATTAGTCGGGAATAAGCAATCTGTTCCCCTGTTTCAACTGAGGCCACATCAATGTTTGTTTGGCTTTACAGATTTCTCTGTAAATTCTCTGTTCCTGTGAATTTTACGTTCTGGAAGAGACTTTGTTTCCTTGCGCCCCCCCCCCCCCCGCGGTCTGTCTGTACGCTGCCTTTTCTAGATCTTCTATCTGTTAGTCTTGTTTGTGCCACACTTGTAAAATATTGTATTTCCTACATGATCTTTGAAAACTCTTTTTGTTCAATAAAACTGATCTGAAAATAGTTGTTCTCTAATTTTGAGAAAGTTCAGTTTCATTACATTGTTTGATCATATTGGTAATGTTCTTAGACCCCTGAATCACGAAGCAAAAAGTCATGTGTTATTGAGAAGTATTTATATATAAATTACACAAGTTTCTTTGCCAATTCCAACTTCTTTCTAAGAACTATAATTAACAGAATGCACAAACAGTTTTGTGACTTTCGTTTAATGGAAAATTGAATTGTACGTTGCCTCTCGAATAGATCAAAGACCGACTGACAAAAGATTTGAAAACCGTGGGTCCAAATCAACAAGATTAAATGCTACACGCAATCTGTCGCAGTACCACAATATTTGCTGCAGTACTATGTGTATGCCTGACGAGTAAATTTGACGCTTCCCCATAACGCTCTGTTCCATTTGAACTGGGAGGTCGGGATTTCAACTGGAACGCCATCTTAGCTCGGATTTCCGACTGGGAAAGGTGGACGAACCCCGACCTCAAAATCCAAGATGGCTACTACACGCATCAACAGTAAAAAAGCTGTAGTAATATGTCTATTAGCACTTCTTTCATATTTGTGTCTCGTTAAATACTAGCATAAAGCGTTATCAATTGTTATTGCTAACAATGACCCCCAATAAGTTGTCCAACTTGTTGTTCTGGAACACAATCAACTCGGGTGTGATTTCATTACCAGTGCCGACTTCCGATTCTAACCGAAAGGAAGCACTCGAAACATCTTTAACCTAAAACAGATGACGTCACACATTATAATTGGCTGTATGTGGGAGAGACTAAACTGAGTCGCTTGGCCCATACTCTGCGTGTGATTGGCTAGCCCCTTCCAGGCTGTTGCTACATGCTAACTTTAGCCTAGCTATGACAGGCACTACGAACTAGACAGACGGAGGAAGAGAGCTTTTGTTCCTGTTGTCCGAATGTAGGCCACCCGGTCCGAGCAATGGGACGTTCTGAGAATTTTTGAGGCGAGAAATCAACTGTGTAGATAACGAATATATTGGCAGTTTTACCAACATTTTGTGAATGGTTATGGATGCATCTCTACTGACCTATTGTTGATTCCCGTAAAGGGATTAAACTCATGGATATTAAAACAAATGTGGAAATTTGGTTTTGAATGTCCACTTATCTGGCTGCTGATTTATATTGTTTATATATTTATTTACCTTTTATACACTTACTGTTAATACCTGTTGACATGTGCATAGGCCATATATTGTTAGGCTACATCTCACTATGCATATACTACATTCCGGTTTCCTGTTTTTTCACTTTGCAATCAATGTACACCTGTCTACCACAAATATATGTTATTTTGTATTTTTGTTTTATTTTATTAAATAAATTATTAAATAATTGAAATGAATGTTTGTTTGAGCATTATTGGAGTGAGACCCAAGATTTGTCAATTCCGCAACATTACAGTTGGTGGCGATATTGCTCCGCCCGTCTGCAATCCGCCATTAAAATAAGAAGTAGAAGAAGAATTGTCAACGCGGAAGTGAAGCCAGGTGAAGTTAATTAAAAACATTACCGTGATCGCTATAATGCCGCTTTGTTAAAACAATTAAAACCAAACAACTGAGACCTAAAAGTTAAGCTAATGTTTCAGTAAACAAGTTTGTGTGTAAGTCTACTTTAGCTAGCAGGAAGCTAGTTAGCATCAGGGATGAATGGAGGAGATGGTTGATGAAAACAATATAATAAACAAGTGCACCTGACATGTTTACAGGCTGCATATTAACCACTTTCCCTCCATGAAGGAAGAGAAGAAAGACCATCTTCATACCGTGAGTTATATTTACACCCTCCCAGTCTTTCACATGCAGTGTAGTTGTTATTGTTATGGAGGTTATTTGTATTAAATATTGTACACTTTTTGTATGTTGTGCTACATGGATGTTGAATTATCCGTATTTTTGCTTTTGATGTTGGCAATGGTGGAAATGGACTTTAACTTTGATTTAAGTGTATTTACTCAAGTTACTTTGTTTATGTAAGATTCTGAGGTAATTGTACTTTACTTGAGTAATTCCATTTTCTGCTACTTATACTTCTACTACAGTTAAAGAGAAATGTTGTACTTGACACTCGACAACATTTATTCGGCAGCTTTAGTTAATAGTTTCTACGCAGATTCAAATTAATAATACAAAATGGGTTAACCTGAGACTTTAGTTACTTTGCAGATTCAGACCAACAAATAAATATTAAATTATATATTTTGAGAATGAATAAATAGCCCACCCTTTTACCTCAAACAATATTTAAAAAATGTATTGAATTTCCGCCAATAGATCCCCCTAAATGCAACACACTGTACCTTTTTTAAAGAATGAAGTCCAAATCTTTACACTACATTTAAATCTGTTAGATATTACATTAGTTTTAGCTCCAATATCAGTTAATGCCATCCCGCATTGTGTAAATCATCTTTAAAGTGAGCATAAATCTGTAGTCTACCACTAGTTATCCTGTGAATTACTGGCTATTATTATGGCAGTTCATCTGAAGCTAGCCAGCTACTATAATTAGCTAATTTATCTTTGCAAATTAGTTAAAAACTGTCTCTCTGTAACTTGTTTTGGAAACAAGAATCTTGTAAAAATGGTCTTAAATATGCACATAATGGCTACATTCAGTACAAGATTTTGTGCTAACAGGTTTGGTAAACCTGCTGAGCATAGTCTGAATTCACCCCTAATTTATTCAAGATCTCGTAAAAACCAATCTGTAATCCTGCCTCCTACTTTTTTATTACAGTTGTTCACCATTTCCTCTCATACTTCTACAGTCATCATCAAATGAAATAAGATAGTTTATTAATCAACCTGTACCTCCAGTTCCCTCAGGACCTTTGGTCCATAATGTTTCTTTGCTTCTGTTAATCAAAATAGGATTATTTAATTAAATAAATAAATACATTTATAAAAATAAATCCTGCTGATGTAAACATGTGTTACCAAGTTGAGGGCTGCAGGATCAACAAACCACTCGGCCCGTTCTGTGGGTGTAGTTTGTTGACGCTGAGGCGTAAAGTATTAGAGCTCTGAGCTCGTGTGTGTGTGTGTGTGTGTGTGTGTGGGTGGAGGGGGGGGGGGAGGACACGTTGACGAAGCAAGATGCTCAGCTGGCTGTTTTTTGACCTTTTGACTCACAGCTGTTAACAGTTGATTCTAATGAGTCACAGTACGAAAATGTCAAAATATCAATTAGAAACTTGTTCTTTGATGTAAATCTGTATGTGTAGTCTCTTCTCTCTCTTCCAACTGATCATAGTTTTTCCACAACAACGCTATACAAACGAAAATCCTGTTTCACCCTTGCCACAATTTTTTTGCAGCCTAAATTGGGTTTCAGGTTGAGTTTATTTTCAAATGTAAGCTATTGAGAATGTATTTTTTCTCTCTGAGACTGAGCCAGTTGTCCGCTCCCATCTGTATTGTGAATGAATGAAAAATATGAAATGAAATGAATGAAAAATATGGTGTTGGATCAAGTTCAGGCAGGCGGCAACCTCCGGTTCTGAAAGTTTAAGCCGATGCAGAAGTGTATTCTCTCTAAAGGCCGTCAGGGGGCGACTCCTCTGATTGTATAGAAGTCTATGAGAAAATGAACATGAGTTTATGGTCTCAATCTCTAGTTTCAAGTCTTCTTCAATACAGCATGATGTTCATTTAGTAAATTATGGTCCCTTTAGAGCAGGGGTCTCAATCTCATCTCCACTCTGGGCCACATCAGCATCACGGTCGCCCTGAAAGGACCGGTTGTAACTCTAAGACTTTGTAAATGTAACTACTCCTAACATATTGGTAAATAACTGTCTCTGCATTTCATTATTGTTTATTCAAGTGTAAAAATATTGTACATGCAGTTATATCTCATAACTTCGACTATGGGGATATTTTTATTATCAAGTCAAACTTTTTTTTTAAACTTTTTTTTTTTTTTTGCTGGCGGATTCGCGGGCCACATAAAATGACGTGGCGGGCCAGATTCGGCCCACGGGCCTTGAATTTGAGACCCCTGCTTTAGAGTCAAATAGACCATAAGGCAGGGGATGCTTTAGGGCGGGGCTACACCGTGATTCACAGATCGCTACCCCAGCCGTTTATGTCGTCTTCTTCCACAGTCCAAATATGGTCACCTCCGTTCACTCTTTGCAAAAAACAATATGGCGGTGGCTGTAATTCAAGTTGGCGACGGCCAAATGCCAAATTCGAGGCTTCAAAACATAGTATAGTACGTTATAAAAATTCCTGAAGAGTTCGGGGATCCAGAGACATTTTCTTTTTCTACTAGTCCTGTATCGTTGTCCCCACCACTCGTAGTCGCCATCTTTCTTACTCAGCTTCGTGGTCCACCAGTAGAAACTGACCCATGGTTGCGCTTGCATGACATCAGCAGCGTCTGTATTTTTGACTGTATTGAATATCCTACTGTTGGAGAATTCTTGGTCCATCAAGTCCACCAGCACACGAGCTTTGGCAAAGTTTGGACATTTGGAATCAGCCCCTAACACTGGTGTTTAACCAGGACTGAAATGTCATAAATTCAACCCAAACACTCAACATCTGGCTCTGCTCACGGCTTTATACAAACCAGCAGTAATAATTGACTTGCAGTGAGACTAAAGGTGTGACAGTGAGCTGTTTATTGACATGTCTGACTGAGTCGTGTCTGACTGAGTCGTGTCTGTCTGAGTCTAATATCTATTTTATGTTGCTGTGAAAATATATCCTTCAAACAACTGTCACATCATGATAAAGTTATAATTTACCTTCGCTCAATGCACATTTTTTCTGATTGGAGCTTGAACGCATCATAATGTAACTCAATGCAACCTCCATTAATGTTAGCTGTTTAGCTTTGTTTTCAGAAGTCTGATCCACGGCTTATTTTGGACTTTCTGTGCTGCTGTGTGCCGTAAAACCATCATGCAGCGGCAACACCTTTGTAAATCTGACCGGCAGAAATGGAAATATGCAAACGGTCGCCTGGTCACCGGTCACGGTCAATCAGCTGACTATTGTCCAGTTTCGATTGGCAGCCAATCGATCGGTGCTTGATTGACAAACTGAATGCATGACCTCCAGATTTATCTTCAGGCCCTGCCGTGCTTGGTGTCAGCGTTGTTAATGCAAGTTCTGCCATTGGTCGTGTCTTGAGTCTGGTGATTTTGTATTTCAGTTCAATAAATTAGCTCTAGGAGGCTTCATCAGGTCCAGTCAAAGAGTGAGCGAGGTCAGGGCAGCTCTGGCTAGTCGCTGTCGATCAATTATGTGCGAACCAACGCAGAGGCCTGATCAGGGATGAGTCTTTGCTCACAGAGCTGACAGTTATTCTGGATCCTGGACTTTCTGCATGGTTAGTGTGTCCATGCCTGTTTTGGAGGAACAGTGTTTCTGTAGCTTTGATCTTTGAACTTTGGTATTGATCTGTAGACCGTGAAGTTCATGCTGACCCCAGAAGAGCAGCAGACTTTTGGTGTTTGTCACCTGTGCAGAGTTAAAGAACAGAGTCATTGGTCAACTCCACACATGGAGCTGAAAGCCACGTACCTCTCTCTCCAGCAGTTGTTGCAGGTTATTGACCATTTCCTACTAAAGGAACATATCCAGGAATCTATGAACCTTTTTAAGGAACTCAGGATAGGATGCACCGATACAACTTTTTCAGTCCTGATACCGATTGGGCTTTGGGTAGCGGCCGATACCAAGTGCCAACACCAATCAATAAGCCGTATTCCTCACTGTTTCGAAGTGACTGGGGTCATTCTTTTATGTTTAAGGTAACTTCAGGCTTAACTTAAACATTGCTTTCTTAACTTTATAAAACATTCACTGAAGCAACTTGGTAAAAAAAAAATCTTCAAAATTAACAGGAATTACAATTTCAGTGAATTCATTCATGTTTAATCAGACATCAACATTGATTTGAATAGATTGGCCCCATTGTCAGCGATAACCAATCCAGCTGTTTAAGTGGATCGTGCATCCCTAAACTCAACTTCCACATGTTTTGGCAGGAGGAACTGCGATCTTAAATTTAAGTTCCTGTGTTGTAGCTCATGTTCGGGGAAGCTATCAGGGCAGTTGGCTCTACTGACTGCTCAGCATTCATTTAGACATTATACAACTTTGGGTTTCGTTAGTATCAATAATGAACAATTTATCTAATTATCTGACTTCTGGACTAAGACCTAAATATCGAGGCTGTGTGATCTTGAGATCGAGTGTTGAAACGTTTGCTTATAGAGAGACGAAGTCACGTCCCTTCCTGTGTCCCCTGTGGGACCTTATTTCTGAAACAATATGTGGAGAATTGAAAAGCGAAAGATGAATATTTTTTTTCCTCTTGTTTGAATTGTGCCATGAATTACACGCATGATGTTTGTCAATTTAAAAGATAACTTTGCACGTAAAGAAAGCCGCAGTTTGTCATAAATTTCTCGTATCAATTAGTTTTGTGTGAAACAGATCAGTAAACTACATCTTTCGTTTTGCGCAATATACGTCACCAACACCAACATGGCAGTTACCTTGGTTGGCTAGCTAGCGAGCTAACTTAGCTTTACTCATCCACAATTGTAACGTTATCTTACCTAAAGTGTTTCATCGAGCTGCTATTTTCATCAGCCAGGAAACAAAAAAACGAGCCAGACCTGTTGTTGGTGTGGGAACATCGTGGTACGAAACACTCAGGCGTCGTAGCTTCACAGAGAGACGTCACTTGCGCGACTTTTGGGTTTGTAGTCTTTCTAATGCCATATTTTTATATTTTACTTGAAAACACTCATCAGTTTGGCACTATCACTAATGACATGCCTCCCACCAATTAATTTCCCTAGATGTATCAACAAATACTTTCTCCAGTAATACACTGAACAAGAACAAGAAGCTCTAGCTTCTAAAACCTTTATTACTCCAATTTGTCTTCAGATGCACAATGGAGACAAAACAGCACATTGGTTCATTAACGGAGAGAAAATGAAGGTGAAACGCACTTTTCATACATGAGGAAACAACAACACATATTTCCAGCGACGTCTCTCAGATGTTTGAGATAAATGTAGTGAATCAATGAAAACTTCACAATTCTCCAAACAGACAGTCCCCCGCGTGTTTTATATTCATTTCTGCTTTAGAACGTAACTGCCTTGAAAAAGGTTAATTTGTCTCCTTTATCTTGAGACTCGTGAGGAAGCTAACTTAGTATTACACTCTCGTCTTAATATTGTTAATATTAACAGGAACTATGGCAGAGGAACTAAATTTAGCCCCTGTCCTCTGATCAAAAGTTAGGTGAAGTTCCTCAAAAAGTTCTTGGTCCTCTGCCAACGAAAGTATTAGTTCCTATTCAAAGTTCCTGGCACTATTTGGTCAAAAAGGGTCTTGCAGTATGTTCACACTAGTGAAATATATGATAGAGTTGATTTTCAGTGGAGTAAGCAGAATGCATCCCGTAGAAAGTGAATAGAAGTGGAATGAACATTCCCATTTTAAATCAACGTAGCAGGACGGTCAGGGAGGTGGCCGTTACTGTGTACCGTTGCCATTGTGTCTGTTGTAGCAGGTTATCTTCCTATAAACTAAACTGACTTATTGCAAGTCAAGGACTCACTGGGGTGAGGTTTTTGTGAATGAGTCAAATTAAACTACTTAATGCTTTATCTATACACTCTTGTCGCAGTGAAGGAAAGCACATTGCTGTTGTCAGATGAGTGATAACTTTTGATCGACTCATTTTTTGTAACCAGTGTAGCATTAGAGCATGGTGGAATTGGCAAGCTAGCTCGCTCGCAGTTGGCTAGTTAGCTAGCATGTTAAGTCCACCATGCTTTAATGCTACACTGGTTACAATATGAACCGAACAGCGTGGTGGTAGGTCCAAAGTTCCCTCCGCCTCACTCCTCGTCGCTCCGGAGAAGAACAACCTAAGTTTAACCTTTCTCATCTTCTTCCTGTCACACTGCTGGGCACCTTTTTGAGTATCGGTACATGAAGTTTATTTCGATGTTCGATGATGAATGGCATTTTGCTGCGTCTCCAGTGTTTGAATCCTTAGACCTTCAGTGATGCCTTTTGCTCTTTACGTCCCGTTCTCATTTACAGACTCAAGTCCTGGAGACACAACAGGATCCTCTCTGACCCACAGGACTCTTGTTTGACAGCCCTTGCAGAATAGACACACAGTTGTCAACTCCACTCTACTCAACTACAGTAATTAAAGAAAAGTAGACCGCTTCTTCGCTCTTTACACCAGAACTCAAATGATCCACCAGGACTACAAGAAACACAAGGCATGAACTAAAGGTCATACACGGCATAGTGTCACTGGGAGAAAATAGCTGCCCAATCGGAGTGTAATCGCTTTCTTAATCGGCAAGTTTCACCCCCAGTTCACACATAGAGACTCAAACACCTGAGACGTGACAGGATGTCACATTTTTAACTGAACCACCCTCCACTACTACTCAAATGCTCCAACGTCATCCATCAGCAGAAGTTGAAAAAGGTTGTTCTCTGTCAGGCGGAAACAACATCGTGGTGACCGAGCAGCTCGTAAAGCTAAACCACAGTTGTTTTTTTTTCTACATTTTATTTGAATTTCTTTAACGTAGTCGAGTGGAGTAGAAAAGTCAACGGCTTCACAACTGCACCTTTTAGCGAGCTACCAAGACTTGAATAAGAAAAAAACCCGACTTTGTTCTGCGCCAGTATCGGCAACATTTAGAAAATACCTGCACAAAGAGACCGACTCTTTTGTAATTGTGAACGTTTAAAAAAAAAAGGAGCTCTTCGGTTTCCTCTCCACAGGAACCAGCTGCCACTTTCAGCTCTTTGAACTTCAGCGTTTGGCTCGGCCAAAACTTCCAAGCTGATCAGGATGTTTCATCAAACAGGATGTCGAACCTGTTTTTAAATGAGGTCTGCAGTGGCGGCTTTTAAGCCAGCCAGCCTGCAGCAACGGAGGTCAGGGTCTCCGATCTCCCCCCCCCCCCTCCCTTTTCTTCCCTCTCAGCGTCGCTTCTCAGTCAAAACCGTTTCCAAGCTGCTCTGCTCTGCAGGCAGCGCTGCCGCTCAGCTCTTTGTGTGTTGGGGGAAGGGAGCTCAGCAGGCGAAGAAACAGTTGGAACAGTAACCTCCACGAGTGCTCGCTCTCCATTTTGGAAAACTCGTCACAGAAAGTCTAATCTCAATATGGCTTCAGTGTGTAATCGCACTGCTTTCTGCTGAACTGTCCAACCAATAAACTGTCTGACAGCCTGGTGGACAGCAGAGGGAGGAGGCCAGGCTTGTTTTTGCGCGCCTTGAATGTCGACAGCAGAGAAGGAAAGCTATTTTAAAGTGAAGGTCTGCAGAGAGTGGAAGCGTTTGGGGTTTTTTCGGTGTGAGTCAGCGGTAGACGCAGCAGAATAACAACAATCTCTCTTTCTGCCCGGAGATACGAAACAGAGGAGGAAGGAGAAGAAACAAACTGGCTCCTTCCCTCATAAACAACATGGCTGCTTTCACACAGAAAACCTGAGTGATGAAAAAAAAAATATAAATATAAATCTGCTGGCTGTGTGAACAAAACACATTTGTTCTGTTTAGACAGCCATGATGAAAAACACAAGTGTGAAAAGAACAGATGTGGAGGCCAACTACACATCAAATACAATCAGAGTGAAGACTGGAGCACATCTCTCAAAAACAATCTGTTCTGGCAGCAAAGAAACGAAGAAGCAGCCAACAAAAATGACTTCATGTTTTTGTTTCGACACAGCATGATCAGATGGAGATTAGTCTTTGGCTTTAACAGCTGCTGAAGATGTTTCATTAAGAAAAACTGAACCCTAAAAACACCTTTGATTACTTTTACAAACAATCTTTTTCTGACGCTAGCAGCGTGTTGTTGTCTCCATCACTTTGGTCCAGACTGAAATGTCTCAACAACTATGTGATGGATTGATGTGATTTTTGTAGACATTCGTGGTGTCTGTGCAGAGGAGGGGTGTTGTGTCGCTCCCTCGCACGTGGTCGTCGTTTCCGTTGCGTTGCGTCGCTCCGTTGCGTCGCTCCCTCGCACGTGGTCGTTGCTCCGTTGCGTTGCTCCGTTGCGTCGCTCCCTAGCACGGGATCGTTGCGTCGCTCCCTAGCACGGGGTCGTTGCTTCGCTCCCTAGCACGGGGTCGTTGCTTCGCTCCCTAGCACGGGGTCGTTGCGTAGCTCCCTAGCACGGGGTCGATGCGTCGCTCCCTCCCACGGGGACGTGAAGATACTTTACTATGACATTTTTATGCCCATTTTTTTTTAATGGCATACAATGACGTTTTTATGACATTAGCAATAGCTCAGGACAGGCAGTGGTATGTTGTGTTTAGCCCACTATACCTCAGCTAAGGGGTGATGAAGAGGAGGTCATCAAGTAGGACAAAATGACAGTTGTAGACCCATTCCAATTTAAAAGTTTTTATTTTTTGTCACTAACTAATGATGGTCATAATGAATCGGGCTGGGCTGGCTATCTACATATCGAGGCGGTTGTCATGGAACATCGGTTGGTATTAAATTTTTCCTCCCAGGCTAGTGTTATATTGATTCATGGCCATAATCTCACTTTTGATTTGAGCTCATTTTATAAGAACAAATATTTTAATGACTTTATTTTGACTTTTTTGACATATACAAATAACTATACTACGATTTTTTTTTAATGACGTATAGCTTCTGACATTTAAATGACATACTACCCTAGGACTTCTTTTATAACTTTTTATGACTTTCTTGTGACATACTATGACTTTTAATGACTTTTTTCCCCCACACCTTTATGGCACAGCGTGACTACTTATGGCTTTTGTTTTGGCTCTTTGTGACATAGTATATTACCACTTTCAATTACTTTTTTCATGGCATACTTATTTTTTTAGCATACTATGACTATGACATATAAAAGTAATTACAAGACTTTTCTATGACTTGTTGTGACATAGTATACAATTACCTTATGACAGACTGTACTATGACATTTTTATGACCACTATTCTCTCTTTTTTTCTGTTAAGTGCTGAGCAGGAAGTGTTCAGTTGGTTTATCAAAGATTGTTTGCTGAAAACCAAACGGTCGATGTAAAACTAGGAGCTGAAAGAGGCTAAAACATCACAGAACTGCAGAGTTGGTGACACACTTTCACATTGACAGAAACATTTGATCCATTGCTGATTTAAAAAAAGAAATTGACTTTTATTTCTTATTTGAATACAGATGATCTGAAACTAACAGGTTATTGTGGTATGTAAACAGACGGCTCCAGTTCTACTGGCTCTACTGGTCCAGGTCCAGAATCTTCGGAGGTTCTTCAGGTTCTGCTGGCTCCAACCCCTGACCGGCCTCCTGTAAGGAAGGAGAGAAAACTATCAAACCAAAAAACCAACCACACAAAACATATGTGGAGAGAGAGCTGGGCCCCGTTCCTCGTACGTGGCTAACTTAGTTAGCCGGATACTTTTCAGGATAAGATGACGTAGATCGGGCTTTTCGGTTCCACGAAGCAAGTTCGGCAAAATCACCATGGCAACACATCCATAAGCTTGAACCTGCTCCGGGGCAGGCTAAGTGAGGGTAGCTGGATAAGCTGGTCACTCCCCCGGTAGTATATATACGGTAGTCTAATGCGCTTGCACATATACTGGGGGTTATACGGGAGTTCCAGAAATGCATGTAAAGTGAGACACACGGTGATCCATAAAACCAGCTGAGCAAACTAAGAAGCCTCTATTGCATTAATGTACAGCTCCCTTCCTCAGAGATCCCACTGATGAAGGAACGATATTAGTTAGATTAGCGTTTTATAGGGAGAGAGTTCTTCCACATCGCCAAGATCCGTTATCACATCATAATGACTTCCTATACGAGCGCTATCCATTCTGCCCACAAGGAATCATTTATTTACAGACCTTCTGGAGCCATACATTGAACACCACACGCTGCAGCCGAGCATTGACTGTCTCACACACTGGATGCAGCCTTGCGCTTTTCTGCGAGTGGTACATTTTTGTACAGTGTCGGCGATGCGGAGAACATCGGGAAAGCCGCTGCATGCCGTGCTGTTCGTAAAGTTTATTTGGCGCTTAATAAACTTATGGATGTGTTCATTACATTACCATGGCACATATTGACTCACCATTCTGAATAATGTGTTTGTGCTTATAGTGTTTACTTGCTCCCATGTCCTCTTGATGGCTGCGTTGCATACATGAGGGTTAAAAGCACTCATAATTATATGACAGTGTTATTAGTACACCAGCATATCATTATTGTAGAAAATGATTAAGGTGGACTCATGATAAGAATAGAGAGAATCACACACTTTCTTTTCACTGCTTCAATTGATTGAATTTCTGATTATGAATAATACATACACACTGATCCGCCCACACACAGATTCAAACTCCTAGTTCTATATGGTAATCTACACAGACATGTATATACACATATATAGTAGGCTACATGATGCATACGCGCATACAGTACATATATCCTCATTAATGAGTATCAATTAGATACTCTTTGGGCTTGTTTTATCTACTTATTCTGAAAGAGTTGAGATAATAATTTTCGCTATATCTCATTGGATGATAAGAATCATCCAATGAGCCATTAAGCCTACTGCCAGCAGTCACATTTAAAGACATATAATCTGATTGATTGGGGTGATGAGGCATTAAAATTAGCCGATACATTTCCCAACACTTGCAGCATTTAACTTGTCTGTGATATTTTGCGTGCTTCTTGTCTAGCCCTCGCAGCGGTGGCAGTGTTAGATTTAGCCGTGATTATGGTCTTGAATTCCTCATATGCGTTCATGATCATCTGCTCGTCAGCGGAGTAAAAAGAGCCTCTTTCTTTTGGTTTATTTAACATTGTACTGTTAGAAAATCATGGTTTCGGTGATCGACGCTTCCCCCTTTTGACGTAGGACGGGCACACGCAATTATCCTGATCCTGATCGTCTGGGTCGAATTAACGAGACTGTTTGAGAGCGCATCAGCCTTGGAGAAACCGACATAGCCTGACATCAATCATCTCATTAATTTAGGCTGGCTAATAGGACATTTGATCGACTTTGCTGAACCACGTACGAGGAATGGGGCCCTGGTCATAAAGTGAATATTTATGGACATTCCCAGATTCACCCCCTCAGGCTGTTCAAGGATCGTAACTCAAAGTGGAGGCCAGAAGTTTAAAAGATGGTCTGACTTTTGACCTTTTATAGTTTCATAGAGGTTATGACCTCTCGGGATGCTGAAATCAGAACGCCAGACCGGGCTTTAAACTACAGGATGTGATTGTTTGAAAGTGTGGAAATAACCTGCTAAAGGATGGAAAACAACTCAAGTACTCAAGTCTGTCTTGAAACAACAGTCAGGTGCCCATATGAACACCGAACAGGTTATTCCTGCTGTGATCGTTATTCCTGTTCGTACCGGAGATCCCTTCCTGATGCACTGCAAATATAAGTGATGATGAAATCCTCACTCTTTGTTTTGTGTTAAAATGAAGTAACTGTGACGGCACTGTGGTGACAGATAAACACATTTTCTTTAGGTTACTTAGAAATATGAAAGCTGGATTCCTACCGTTTACCTTGTGATTGTCGTGAAAAGGATAAAATAGTTGCTGCCTTGATTACTTCGCAGATTTGTAAAATCCTGTCTTGTAGTCTTATAAAACGCTGTGCCGAGTCTCTGTTGTACAAACTGGACTTTAGACCAGATCCTCAGGGGTTTAGTTTAAGAACCAGCGAGCAGCTCTCTGATTGGTCGACTCACCTCAAACGGCTCGCTGAAGGCTCTGGAGCCGCTGTACAGAGGGTTGGGGATGGAGACTAGCGTGGGCTTCGTCCTGCCGCCCGGCGCAGCGTCCTCATCCTCGTCCTGTCACAGAGGAAACAAATGAATCAGACATTTGTAACGTAGCATCACTCAATGAAACGTCACGCAGTGTTTCAGGCTCCGATGTGTGAAGGTGTCCATTAAGCAGATGGTAAGACATTTTAACGTCCAGGTCTAAACTGTGATACACTTGAAGTCATAGTTTGTTGTTTTTACGTTTTTGTAATTTCAGTGTGTATGTATTTTAAATTTATTATACTATATTGATCCCGTTAAGGGGGAAATTTGTCTCTGCATTTGTATATAGGGAGCAGTGGGCTGCCAATGACAGGCGCCTGGGGAGCCGTTAGGTGTTCAGTGTCTTGCTCAGGGACACTTCGACACATGACACGTTCTAGTCAAGGATCAAACCGTTCTGCCACTGAATGTTTGTGTAGTTATTTAATTGTTACAGAAACTCTTCTCCGTCTGACTTTGAAGTTTATGGCTGTGAGATTCGTCTGTTACTCCTTTACACAATGTGTGTGTGTGTGTGTGTGTGTGTGTGTGTCTCTCACCCTAAAGTAGTGGAAGCGAAAGGCGTCCGTCTTGTGTTTGAAGACGTAGTAGCCGAGTGCAGCCAACACACACGCCAGCAACAACGACACCAAGATAGCCGACACTGTGCCGCCTGAGTGGGCGTGGCCTCGGGAAGCATGATGGGAGATCTGGAGACGACAGGTACGACAAACAAACACACAATCATTACTGTGATGTTCTTATACATGTAGTCAACTTTTCAATCCTCGTGAAAATTCAACCAATTAAAATGAATAATTGATGTTCACTATCCAATGGGTAGAGAAAGGGAACTGATCCTCCTGATGACCGACTCTGGCAGACATTTTGGTTTTTTCCTCACAGGAAGAAGAACCTGTTTACAGGATGTGGAGGAAAGCAAGATGGCCGCCAACATTTCTCATGTAAAATTACGTCATCAAAGCCTGAATGTTTCCAGGTTAGTAGTTTAAGTTCTGGTTGAGTTGTTGTGAGGGTTTAGATCAGAGGTTCAGGGGAAAAGTGACTGACCTTTTTAAGATGTTTTCATGAAAAACTGACCTTTTTTGTGACTTTTTTACTTTTTTCATTAAATGATTGACTTTTTACATTACGTTTTTCGACAGACTATATTATGACTTTTGTTAGGATATTTTTCGACATACTACGCTAACTATTTAGGAACATTTTTTAAATACTATACTGTGACTTTTTACTTTTGTATGAGTTTTTTCAACAACCCCATGATTAGTGTCACTTTTCTTGACATAATAATTTTATACATATGAATTTGTATACACTTTGTCAACCCTAACTATGATTTTTTGTGAGACATTTGACACTGTACTATGACTTTTTCCTCCTACTTTACTTTGAATTTCTCTGACATGCTATAGCATGCCTTTCTTTGGCATATCTATGACTTTTTTCATGACCTTTTTTGACATACTATACTATGAATTCTTCAGGACATTTTTGAAGATACTATATTATACACAGAGTGTTGGATTTCCCAAGAAATATTGACCAGTTCCTGTTTCTTTACAGCGGTAAATGGGAAGCCAATGTGCTTAATTCGTGTTTACAGCACCTTTTAAAAGGAAAATGATATTCAGCGCCACTATCAGACTCATCATGGCGAAAAGATACAAGAATTTGCAAGGACAACTGAGACCAGAGAAGTTAATTCATTGTTGGCAGGTTCGTCAAAAACAGCAGTTAGTTTTTAGTCGTAGCCAAGAGATCAGCGAGACATCTCAAGCTGTTCGTCTGTTTAGTAAATTAATTGTTATTTAACTGTGAATGTTTTCAGAATGTACTTAATTGGAGATGTAATTTATAGGTCAGTGTGCAATGGTTTAGCTCACTCGAGGGCTGTATGTGGCCCATTAACTAAAACGAGTTTGACACTCCTGTAAAATGTCCACAAGTCACAATGTGGAGAAGGTGAGGACAGGAAGTCATTCGGGGGAGTAGAATAAATATTTAGCTAAAGGCTTTAGAGTAATCTGTTGTGATCTCGCCTCCATCATCTTCTTGTGTCCCGCATCATGAATATTGATTGGGTCGTGATGTTATCTCAAACTCGACTGATTGAATCTTCATTTCCTGAAAACTGGGCCAAGAAACTAAACGGAGCCATCTGCTCCGTGCCCACAGCTGTAGCTGTTGCCTAGCAACAACAGACGGAACATCTTATTTAGGAAGCGCTTGCAGAGTGGAGAGGGAACGGTTGTCACGGCGCCTCCTAGTGGCTGCGCTCAGAACTGCAGCAGTTCACGACGCCGCAAACATTTCATGTCGTTGAGACAGTTTAGGACGTTAAAAAAAGTTGGCGAAGGTTTTTATTGCACGAACAGTAACGAGCGTAGCCGTCGTCAACTCAAGGTCGCTTCATCTGGTTCACTTCAGTGTTTGAGACTTCACTCTGTGTGTGTGTTGTTGGAAGAGCTCAGCCCCGACACAGATCAGAGGAGATGCTCTCTGCAGTGTGATAATAAATTACACCAAAACGTTAAAAAGTACAGATAAAAACACAGATATGATCCCATCCCTACATGACACACTGAATAGATACTTCCATTAATCAGTACACTGCTACATATCAGTACAGCACAAGAAGAGGTACATTTCCATCTGCATGTTTTTACATTTTAAATGTATTTATCAATTAATAAAACAAAATAAATATTAAAAAATCTCATTTCACAATTTTTATTTATTTATTAATGAATGATTCACTGAGGTGGAAGGAATTGATTAATTGATGAAAGTGCCAATCAAGACAGATTTTAGGGGTTTCCCACTTTCTTAAATATTGGACATTTGTTTTGTACTTTAAATTTTTCAGCTGTTTTTGAAAGGTGGAAGCATTTACATTTAGACTGGAGCTTTGTCTGTAGTATTCCTCTATTCGTGATTCTGTTCCTGTTATTTCATTTTTATTTTGTTAACTATAAACTGTAACATGTATGCTAAGCTAACCTTCCATGTATAAATAAAGGTTGAATTAGTTAAATTTCAAATTATTGTTCACAGGTTTCAACACGCATTAGACATCTATATATAAAAGGATTGTGTGTCAGTCGATTGGACATTCTGAGCCTCAGTTATTAAAAATAAATTTGATGAACTGTGTCTCAATTGTGTTTTTGTTACCTTTGTGATTTTAAATTTTGGCACTACAGTTCCCATAATGCTTCAGGCAATGTCAACAGGAAGTGTATCGTCATTATCTGTGAGCTTTATATTTCAATGGATCTGCACCATTAACAATGTCGATGCTGCATGACGACAGATGACATAATGGTTCAGAATCAGCGGTAGAAGTTATACTAATAGTGAGCAGCTCTAGGTTAAACCATGTTCACTCACCGGTGCGGGGGGCGCTGTCAGCGGGGCCTCGATGACATGGATGATCCCGTTTACAGCAGGAATGTCCCACTCCAGCAGCATCCGCCGGTTCACAAGCTTAAAGCTCTGATCATTAAGAAGAATAACCAAGACACAAAATCAAACTTTAGTGAATAAACATTGAAGATTGTTTACTTTTATTTCTGTGTTTAGATTCATGTACCTAAGAGGTAGGTGTGTGTGTGTTTCTGACCTCGTTTTTGCCGTGGGTAACAGTCAGGTTGAATCCAAGCCTGGATATGATGACTTCCTGGTGTTTCAGATCCTTAAATGGTCGAATGCTGTGATTGGTTGAGATGTGATACTCAAGATCTCTACCAGACAGAGTCTGACACACACACACACACACACACACACAGACAGACACAGACACAGACACAGACAGACAGACAGACAGACGAAACAGATTAGATTTCAGTCACAGCTCCGTCAGTTGGAACCTGCTGGTATTCTGATTGAATTCATTTAGTTCTAAAGGTTAATACATGTGTTGGTGTGGATCTGTCCATTTCTTAAAAAATCCAAGCATATAGTTGATATGCTTCAATAACACTCTGTGGTCCATGTTCTTTGTTTTTAGAATGAATTTAAAATTTGAAAATATAAAATCAAATAAAACACAATAGACGTATTACAAAGATTATAATACTGCTGTACTCTACAGGAGCCACAGCTTCATCTACAATGCTCTAAATATTAACCAAAAATAAATGCTAGCTGTTTGAGGTCCTAACTGCATTCTGGGAATATAGACTGAATTATTAGCAAATTAAATAATACAATATATATATATAATATATAATTAGAGTATTTACAAATATCTATATAAATGGGCCAAACAATACATTTTAGCAGTGGTGGGCCGTCAGGGCCTGCAAGGCCTTCTCTGCTGGCCTAAACAGAATCAAAGTTATATCTATTTTATAATTTAATATTTTTTCTTAAATACACTACATGTATTATAATTTATAAAAATATTTTTCCCATTATCTTATTTTCTCATTGCACAGCTACTGTCTTCCTCAGTTGCTCTGCTTCCAGTGCAGCTTGTTTTAAGTAGAGCTTTTATCCAATCAGATTTCACCTCTGTGTCTCTAGGTAAGAACAGAGGCAGAGGCCTTCAGACTCAAGAGCATCTATGTGCAGTTTAAGTGAATGGAGACGATGTTGATTGTCATAGTCTTCAACCAATCAGATCTTTAGTTTGACATGTTGGGCGTATTCTTTGACGTGTCAGCACCTGCTAGCTGGTCTATAATGACGTCAGCATTACATGCCGCTCAGTGTCCATGTACAGCTCTGCCGCGAGGTGCAGAGTGTGCTGTGATTGGTCAGTGGGCGAGCACGTGACTATCGTGAAACGAAACTTAACAGCAGAGGCATGTCGGGTAGTGAATCACATCACGTGATGCAGCTCAGCCAATCAAATATGGGCATTCTGACTAAGTGATATATACACACACCATGACACAGGGGACTGAGAAGAGGAAAGACATTGCAGAGCAGTACGTACAATGTTCAAGTTGTGAAAGTAAAATCATAAGACAATCTCTTTGGGCTGTGACTTGTCATTAAGGAATGATGGTGGGTCCCACAGTCAGACCAGCTGAGAACCATTGTCCGCCATGAGCGCAGAAAACATATTTTCCAAATGCTCTAGTACTATTCAAAGGTATTGTAAGCCTCGTACCGAACAGTTTAATACGTACATAGTTACAGCCTTAGAAACGAATAATAACTGTGGCGGCATCATGTGGTTATAAGGTGGTATTTCAGCTGCAAGACAACAGTGAAGGCCCAGGTATAAAATGCACGGCCCGCCACTGCGTATTAGTAAATAGTTAAATTATGTATTTTGGGAGATCGAAACAGGAACAAAGCAATGTACGGCTGGGGACTGGGAGCAGCAGCAAAACATACTTTAGACACCTAAAAATATTTTTAGATGAACCTTTGTCATGTAAACAAAAAGTACAATTAGTGTTGGTAATGTATTTAGTAATTAATAAGTAATAATTGAAGGGTACATCACCTGGTTTGGACCGAAGCCGGCGTTATGAGGAACAAACAACGTCACCTCAGACTTCCTGTGAGACATGAATTCAACGAGCTGTTTGCCCTCTGAGGAGTGGCCGCTATAGTCCAACAACAACTACAGAGAGAGAGAGAGGACAAATTAAGTTATTTAGATTTACAATTGATTTGTTGTCAAGGGTTAAAACCAAACCAATCAATATGTGATGCATGCTTATATGTTATAAACATACACATCCTCTCGTCCAGTGTAGACGGGAAATTAAAAGACAAAACAACTGAGTCAGAGCACTTCATATGAGGTCAATACGTAGATGTGCTAATCGACAACAGGACTTTAAATTCAACTCAGAAACTAGGGCCAGAAGAGGAATACAGGAGCCAGTTTGATAACAGCTTCTTTTTTTTTTGTGGAGATAGTTTGTTCAACACGGTGCCTCTCTACCTTTTCATTAACTTGTTAACTGGAAGTCTTCCAAAGCTCAGTTCTCTTCAGGAGGTGACGTCTGTGTTATCTATAAGGTTTGATTAACAATGCGAGAGTCTGAAGAAGTGTGTCCTTCCCATACCTCGAGAACCGCTCATCCGATCTACTTCACACTGAGCGGGTGCAGTGACCCACGGGAGTGCTTTGTCGAAGTTGGTGCAATTTGGATACGCAACAAGTTTAAATAAACAAGCTCTGTGCAGCAGCGGGGTCGGGGGGTTTCAGTCGAGTTGCTGGATATACTAACATTACAACCGAACTCTTCACTTCCCTGGAGACAAAGAGTGATGAGTAGTTGTCGAGAACAATTAGTCGGCCCGCTCCGAACGTTTACGCATTCCGAAGAGCCGCATCGGGAGTCAAGCATCGTTTAAAATTGTCGTCTTTGTACAGAATATTTGTTGACGTCTGCTGACATCAAGTTCTGATAACAGAACGATATCTGAAGATAATTAATGATGTAATAATGAAATCAACTTCATTAAACAAAATCATTTACTTAAAAATAAGGTTGTTTATATGTCCACGATTTGAAAATCTCCTTGACGCCCCACAATAGTAGTTTACAAACAGACGCGTGTATGAATGGATGTTATTCATCAGCTGGGAGCCAAACAGCTGACGAATGAGCCACTGATGGTGAAATATGAATGAAACTGATCAGCGAATGCAAACACTGTACTCTAGTTTATTACAGTTATCTTTATATGTTATTATTTTTAATTGTTTATCTTAATTTATCAAGTGTGTTACATTTTCCATTAACTACAGCATTCTATCCATGTCTTTATGTGCATTAAGTGTCTATGTATGTATTCATGAAATACAAACAAAGTTCATTATCATTATTACTATTCATATGAACACACTGTTATTATTACTGATAGGAATGAAAATACTGATCCAAGTTATAAATAAACCAGAATTAACTTTTTACATCCAAATGGTCCAACTGTCACTCTCACCTTGTAAAAGATGGAGAAATTGCTGTACGTTGCGAGGATGCTGGTCAGGACGCCGTTACAGAAGTCTCCGTTTCCAATGTAACCGGCAGGACACACACATGAAACATCTGCGCACACACACACAGACACACACACACACACACACACACACACACACACACACACACACACAGTCGTTAGAGCTGATGTCTCACCTCAACATTGTGATTTGTCTTTCTGACGTTTTGACCAGAGGTCAGCGCTCACTATCCATCAATATTCTGGAGAATTCCTCCAACAGTGGAATAAACTGTGGTTGATATAAGACTCGCTGCTTCACAAGAATACAATTTATCGATCTGTTGTTTAAGTGTATTGCAGCAGAGGAGCCCACATACCTTAACTTGCTAGATTAGTTGACGACAATTTTGTCAAGGGATTAATAATTTAAATTATTTGTGAAGTCAAAACACCAAACATTCTATTGTTCCAACTTCTCAAATGCGAGTTTTTGGTTCTTATTTTCATTTATTTCTTAATATCAGCTATTGAATATTTTCTGACATGAACAATGATGGAAATAAGTCCATGACTTCATCCTTCTGTCCCTGATAAAACCTGATGTGTTTTATAAATATATTACAGTATTGTCAATAAACCGAGCGAAATATCGCTGTTATCTGAATGTTTTCAATTCTAAGATGTCACCTAGAGCTCCGGGAACCTTTTCTGAGATATTAAAGAAAAACAGTTCATCAGTTAGTTCAAAGAATAGGTGACAGAATAAATGTATTAAAATAATTATAAGCTGCAGCTCTAGATTAAAAAGGCAATCCAGAAGGAGCTCTGTGATGCTCCAGCAGACTAAACAACAACAAATTAAAACAACAAACGCTCAGGAACTGAAATCTCCAGTGATATGAACAACAGACCGGCCTCTGTCTGAACACAGAGACTGTGCTGCTTTAGTACCGTTGAGCCTGTAGCAGTAGGCGTCGTACTTGCTGCTCTGGTCCACAGGTTCCTTGTAGATAACCAGGCCCACGTGGTTGTCTCCACACCTGACCGAGGGGAAGCGGGTCGGGTATCCCACCTGCCCCCCCTTCATCCAGCCGGCCACGCACAGATGCATCCCCAGCTGTCAGGACCAGAGATAAATGATTCATCACAAGTACCAACATGCACTGCTGGAAGTAATCATTTTCAACTAACTAGAAGAGGTAATTATGTGTTGGATACATCCGTCTCGTGTTGTGGTGGTTCTATCAGCACCTCGAGCATAAATCTGGCTTCATTGTTCAACATTTGAGGAAACATATGAGATCAGTACTCCTGCACTTATGAGTTAATGGTTCAATAAACTGTTGTTCATCAGGGTTACAACTGTATTTAAAAAAAAGTAATTTCCTAAAAGAGCTGAACATTGTAGTTTTTAGCAAACGTTACTCAAACAGGAGTTACTAAAGTAGTCACAGGTTTGTACGCTGCTCTCACTCACACAGCTGTTTGGGAGAGAGTAGCGGCACTCTTTACGAAAAACAATAGTCTTCATCTGCTCCGACATGTTTTCTCATAAATATGCTGTTTGTGTTTACAAGAGTGAGGTGTACTGATCTGTCTGGTGTCCCTATGGAACCCCTTCAGTAGGCGGGTTTACCTGCTGTGCGTCTCCCAGCTGTTTAAAGTTGGCCAGCGTGGCGTCCTCGGCCTGGCAGGCGGCGTCGGCCTGACTGAAGTTCATCTTGTACTTCCCGTCTGGAGAGCGCAGGTTGAACACTCCTGCTGTGTTGGCTGAACCACAATAACCGTGTTACCGTTACCTCAGATTACTGTCGTCCTGCACAGCTCAGTGCAACTATTTTATCTCTACCAAAAATCTACTGAAAAAAAATTGGATTAAACCGCAGCAAAGAAAATATTGGTATCTGATTAGCTGTCAGCTTGTTTCCCTCTTTGTATTAAAAACATAATGATCTTCGACCGCAAAACTGCCGTATCTATTAAATTCAGCATGACGACAACACCCTGATCGATGAGCACCAGGTAAGAATCACCTCTGGGTTTTAACGAGCTCGTGGCCTTAAAGGTAGAATATGGAGTCTGTTTGTAAACACAGCTTTCAAAATTCCTCCTCTCTGACTCAACGAGAGGGCGAGATAGAGGCGGAGAGAGAGAGAGACAGAGAGGAAGAGAGAGAGAGAGGGAGGAAGATGAAGAGAGAGAGAGAGGAAGAAGACAGAAAGAGACAGAAAGAGACAGGAAGAGAACGAGAGAGAGAGGAAGAGAAACAGAGAGAGGAAGAGAGGGAGAGGAAGAGAAACAGAGAGAGGAAGAGAGGGAGAGGAAGAGAGAGAGAGGAATAGTGAGAGAAAGGAAGAGGAAGAGAGATGGAGAGGAAGAGAGAGAGGAAGATAAACAGAGAGAGGAATAGAAAGAGAGATGAAGATAAAGATAAAGAGAGAGAGAGAGAGAGAGAGAGAGAGAGAGAGAGAGAGAGAGTGATTGAAGAGAGGGACTGTCATTATTTAGAACAAAGCCATGAATCAGAAGAATAAAAGGTTATTTTCTGATTGTTTCATGGCGGTTACGTTCTAAAGAACACATCCACATCTCCACACAAACGGATGGACTTTGACTGAGGCTTGCTTCATCCTGCTGAGGCTCGTCTGTGTCACTCGTCTGTGAGGTCTGTGAGTCTCGGTAGGCCGAGGGGGGGTGTAACAAAGCGCCGCCGTTTGACCCGGGAATGAGAAACGGGCTGCACTTCCTGCTCATTGGCTAGAGATTACTCCCCCGTGTCGGGTCCAAATGCTTTTTTACTGACATTCAGAAATGTCCAGAACAAGGAAAGAGAAAATACAGGCGGAGGGTAAAGCCTGTGCAGATACAGACACATACTTTGAGTGATAATTGAGAGGAATTATCTTTGTATTAGTCCATATATTGTTTTTTAAGGAAATTGTTGCATATTATACCTTTAAAGGGATCGTTAGGATGTTTTGAAGTTGGGTTGTATGAGGTACTAATCTGTGTGTGTATTACCTACAGTAGAAGCTGTGGACAGGGGCCGCAGCTAAATGCATTTTAGCCCCCTTAAAGAAAAGTTGAATCTGTTAAAGTGTTATATTTACAATATTTGCTCTGCTTTACCTCGCCGCCAGACAGCCCTTTGAGACGGGGAACTTAAGCCGTTATCTCTGCTCTCTTCAAAGCCAAACTTGATCAATTTTACCTCGTAGAACTCTGGAGTTTCTCATCTAACGCTGCGTTGATCGATTTGTTCACTGTGTGACTTCGACGTTATTGTGTGACTTCAGTGTTTTAATGGTTAGTTCGGACTCACCAACGTTACACAATAGGGTGTGTGTCTGTGTGTGATTTGGCTGCATGGCCAGAGGAATGTAAGGTAGGCCGTAAACAGGGGGGATGGGTCATAAACCTCCAGTCTGCAGCTCAGTATTGTCTCTTCAGATCCTGCTTGTGAGTTTGTCCATGCCGGTCATAAACTGTGGACATGTCACTTAACTTCCATTAGTGACCTGGAGATCATGTGAATAGTGTCACTGTTTCAAGAATTTAAAGATGTAATTCATTGTCTTTAACAGAATAAATTGATTATTTTTGGGTGGACCTTTCTTTAAGGCAGGTAAAATACAGCTGTACATTAATAATCTTCTGTGTTTGTACTCCGTCATCTACTGTAGGCAGTACACCGACTATAGATAATATAGATTACAGGTACTATATAATCTATAGTATCTATAGTATAGATACTATAGATTATAGATACTATAGAACCCATAGATTATAGAACCCATAGATTATAGATACTATAGAATCTATAGATACTATAGATTATAGATACAACCCTACATCGGAACATTCATCCCTTTAACGAGTTCCATGTTTAACGGGCGCTACGAGGTCGTGGCTATAACAAGCTCTGGGCGTTACCTGCTGTATTCCAGCTGATTGCTTGTTGACGTTTGTTTACGAGTCCCAAAATCAAATTGTTATTCAAAGCTAAAACTAATAAACAATGTTCTCCATAACATCCCCTACTGCAATAGAGTAGGATTGTGTGGCCAACATGGCTCCGGCTCAGCAGAGGCAACGTGAGACACGCGAATACACTGCAGCTACTGGTTCAGCCCAGATGTGTCACCACGGTAATAACCACTGCAACACAAGTCAGTGAAGATGTGTTACCATGGTAATGCAGGTCCTTGCAGTTGGCCACGGGGTCGCAGCCTCCGTTGTCTTCCAGGCAGCGGTCCACAGGGGGCACCACCTTCTCCAGACACTGGACTCCATTACCCAGGTACCCTGGCAGGCACTCGCACTGACGCTCGTTCTGGAGGAAACAGATTACCAAGTGTTGATCATCGGGTTAAATCAGGTGCTGATATGTGGTTTAACTAGTATTGGTATGTTAATGTATTTCAGTTATTATACCATTGAAGCAGCCTTGGGGATTAAAATATTGAATGCCTTTACGTAATATAGATACAAAAGGAGGATTATTAGCAGGATGACGATTTTAAAATACATTTGAGATGAAAAACGATATACTACCATGGACGTACGTTACAACACTTCACCACACAAGTCCAACACAATGCCCTCTAGTGTCCGTAAAAAACAAAATGCTTTCACTGTGTGGAAATTTTGTAAATAAGGAAAGAGGGAAAAAGAATCCCAGTACAGTGCAAGTTATCCCTTCAATGCTGTCATTAGTCAAGGACTCAAGGTATAACTTAAAGAAACAGGTTGGACCAACCAACGCCTGTATTTGCTTGAAGAAAAGTATTATTTTCTTTAAAAATACACTGAGCAGACGACACATTTTAAAATAAAAAAAAACCTTCTATAGTTACATTGTTCTGTTCACTTACAAAACATATAAATGTGAATTAAGTTTAAATACAAGATATCTTATTGATCTTTCTTTTCTCGTCTGTATTTGCATATTTGGTATTGAGGTAATTCTAAAGTAACGCAAAGTAATCAAGTTATTGTGATAGTTGGATTAAGTTACTGTCTAAATTCATTTTAACAGGTAATTAGTAATTGCAGTGAAATACATGTTTAAAATAATCCTCCCAACACTGCATATAAGACACAGCGAGTAGGAGTTCAACTTGTGGCGGTCTGGGGCTGGAAGATCATTAGTTTTGTTGAGTTTAGTGCATCTCAATCAAAAATGATCCCCCCCAAAAAACACAAATTGTCTTAATTATTAACCCTTAATTATATAAACACAGTGATGAAAATATATGAAGGTCTTTACTCACTGGACCAGTGAACTTGCAGGAGGCAAAGTCACTGCAGCCGCCGTTCTGCTCTTCAATACACCTGGAATACAAACAGACAAATAGCTGACATTCATATGAAAGAAAAAAACCACAGAAGCAAAACAGCGACTTACTTTCGAGGAGACGACGGGCCACGCTTACCTGTTGATGGGCTCGCAGGAGTAGCCGTCTCCTTGGTAACTGCTATGACAGGTGCAGTTGACGAGCAGCCCCGTCTGGTTACAGACTGCATTTTGGTGACAGCCACCGTTATATTCGAAGCAGAGGTTTGGAGCTGCAGAGTGTTAAATAATAACAATAATAATAACTTTAATTGTGGAGCTCAGTTTACGCAAAGATGCAGCACGAAGTGCTTCACAACACAGGAACAAAGAAAACAACAATATCACAACAATAACACTATAATCTGATCTGCTCACATGGTGGAGTCATGCCAGAACAAATGATCATCAAATCAATTATTCAGATTTTTTTGATTGCTAAGACATAATATTTAATAAATAAAGAGAATTAAAACCTAAATAAAAATATATAAGGTTTTCTGACTTTAAACTTTGAGGGGTATTATTTCCAGATTGGGGGGAAACGTGTTCGATGCGAACAACAAATCTACATCTGATCATGTGTTTCACTGCTTATTTAAGTTTATGTCAGCTTGTCCCTTTTGTCCCCTAAAGTGTGTGTGTGTGTGTAATAAAAGCTTCAGCTCCTGCACTGTTGGTCAAAGCTGGATGTAAACTCTCACATGACCACACCTTGGTCTTAAAGAGTAACTCGACCCCCAAACCACATGTTTTAACTGTAAAGCAATGTGTATTGGTATTTAGTAGTGTTGTTGATAGATTCAGATGCATATCTTGACATGCAGAGAGGAGTATCAGTGATGAGTAGCTGTTACCCTTTCAGTTAGCCTGTTAATCGCTTTAATACACCATTATCATGCTTTGGTTTGTCTGATGTATCTCCTATGTTTCTACCTGTTATTATGTTGCTACTAGAATTACTATCGTCGTGCTGACAAAAGACAGCAGACATTCAGTGTCGTCGTCTGGTAAACGATTGTCCTGTGCTGCAGCACACTCACGTGGCTCCGGATCACAGAAGGTGCCGTTCCCCTGAAACCCAGATTTACACTGACAACCAGCACCTGGCACACAGTCGGCCTGAGCGTGGCACCGCCGGCACTCCTCTGGGATCGAGCCTGGACGGACAGACGGACGATTCATCAAAAAAAGGAAATGAAAACGGTGAACAGGCCTTTAATATTGTAAAATGATGACAGAGAAGCAACGTGTGTGTATGACAGCCAGAAAGCAATTAGACAGCAGAAACCTCCACAAAGGCTGAAAAATCTTCCAAACTAATAAAAAAAGAGAAAACGCTTATTGGCTGATGATAACTAAATACTGTCTGGGAGTATTAGTGGTTTGTACAATGATGAATCATGTTGCTTTGACAAACCCCTTTAGGTGAAATGCTGTCACATATTTAACGACTGCTTGCAGTTAATATGTACACATTGTTTTTTGTTGCTGGTGCTTGCTAGTGGGACATCTACTGGTTCTGAATGTCTTGTTGTAAATAAAACCTTTAAAAATAACACTATATCTTTAATGGTGTTCAAAGATTTATGTTGTTGGTAAGAACCAAGAGAAACACTGTTGGTTTTGGACTTTTCATGGGATTTGTTGAACACCGGCCTTATTAGTTAAACATCCTGCAATTAGTTTCACTAATTGCAATCAGGTTGCAACGGGTTTGTTAAGGACCCAGGAGCAGTACGACAGACACCAGGGATAGTTTGAATCAGAGTTTTATTTTCCTCTGGACACACAGCAGGTAGAATCACAGGGAAAAAGCGGCAGGATCTCGTGGTCGGGAACAGAAGGCTGGGTGAATTACCGGGGCAGAGGCACGGCGGGGTATCAGTCCAAGGGTATACGCTGGAAGGTTTTGCATGGAAGCGGAGAACGATCTGGCAGTGAGTGTGTGTGAGACTGGGGTTTAAATAGTGGATGCAGCAGAGTGAGCAGGTGAGAGTAATGAGCTGATGAGGTGAGTGTGACTGGCAGGTGCACTGGATAACCTGATTAGGTGAGTGAGAGGTGGAAAAAACAGGATAGTAGTGGCAGAGCTGTGACACAGGTCCTGACATTCAGGAGGGAAAACTCACCTAAATCGATCTGGCAGCGATCCCCCATCCAGCCCGGGTTACAGACACACTTTCCAGAACCTTCCATGCCTACATCACACCTTCCCTGCTTCCCGCAGTTGCAGGCTGAAAGAGACGAAAAACATGACTCAGCCTCTCGGACTCTTGAATAATCTCACAAATAAAGTTGTGAAGATGGAGGGAGTTACGCAAGAGGTTCCTGCAGCAACAGTCTGGTTCACTTTTCTCCACAGACGATGTGAGGCGATGGACAGTTGGAGCTCTTTGATGTTTTGATCGACATTAAACTTTCTTAGCCGAATCATCAGTCCGGGCGAGACAGAAACAACCGTGTTGGAAACGTTCTGTAAAAGTCAGAAGGTCGAGAAGCCTTCCGACACAAAACATGAAGGACGGACGTCGACTACAACTCCAATCACAGAGCTTCAAATCCATCTTGTGTGCTCTCGGCTATCAAAGGGCTTAAACCTGATGAAACATTCAGCAGTTTAAAATCACTTCACTTTCTCATTCTGGATCAGTTTTGGGATTGATTTAGTAACCATGGCGATGGGTTTTTTGTTCCTCACTGCAACAAGTGACGCAATCTGAGTTTGCCACAGCTCCCGACTCACATCACACCTCTCGACCGGCGTCGTCCGTCGTCTTCTCCTCCAGCGTTGGTCAACGTTTGACGATTGATCATTGTTCAAAGAAAAACCGTTGACTTTGACAGAAGATGATCGGCAGCAGCTTGTTGTTATGCCGTGAGACTCTCTGAGTGAAGACGGACGGAAGGTTCGTCCTGAGCCACTAATGCACCCGGCTGTGTGATGGTGAGTGTTGAGGGTTGCTATAGTGACAGACTGCAGCAGAGATGATGGGGGTTAGGCTGTCTGCAATGTTTAAGTCGGGTTGCTGGTTGGTTTGAAGGTGGGGCGGGGGAGAAAAAAACACTTTAATGAAGGAGAGAGAAAAGTTCTCCTGTCCGTTGGAGGTCTTATAGCCAGAGGGCGGTTTGTTCAATTTGAACGGGGGGATGGAGCTTTACAGGAGCTCTATAGTTTAGAGAATATTATAGATTCAAGACGACAGAAGGGCAGGATTTAGAGAATAAGGCACAGTTAGAAATCCTACTTCAGCACCACGGACAGCGTCATGGATTGATCAACACAAGGCCACTGATATTTCAGAGCCGTGGTCAGGGCCATGGATTCTAACTTATATAAACTCAGTCAGATGAAGGATCAATGGGTCGGGCAGACTAGACTAATTTATTCAACTCTACAACTCTCTCTATCACAGGATAGAGACGTAGGTTAACAAGGGGCATGCAGTTTGGTAATTTTGCCTAAAAGAAGGATGGCCTCCCCCGTCATATCCCCTACTGCCCTCAGCTGTATTCATAATTGTGCGTTAAGCAGCGACGCAGGAGCTACGGCGGCTACGTGCTTAGGCTCGGTTGCTGAAATGTAACAACACATCAAGGCTACGGCAGAAACTGAGGTACCACGTGAAGACAATGATTGCCTGCTTTGTGTTTCTGAGATTGTCGACAGTGAATATAACATTAAACGAGTTGAAGAAAGGTAATCTGCTCCTTTTCTGGCAAAAATCAATCGCAATCTCCGCTGCGAAACTTCTCCTCACTGTGATCGCCACTCACTACGACTGCACAGTCGTGGTTCTATAATGAGTAATAAAAAGAAGTTGAAATCTTTGTTACCCGACAGTAACTCCAGTTATATAAACAAGTGTTTACTGATGATATAAACTTCTGCCGGTAATAGTAGTGATGCACCGTTTGCAATGTTCTTGGCCAAGATTCACATTTTCTTTCTTTCTAAGAACTATAACTGACAACACACACAAACGTTTTTGTAACTTTCATGGAAATTGGAAATTCAATTGTATGCAAATAGTTTTCCAAATGTTTTATGGTTGTTCCTCCACGGCTTCTTTAGGACTTGGTGTTACATGTTTTCTACACTCACACTGAAGAACTTCCACACCGACGACATGATGTGTGTGCGTGGCTGTACACTGTATGCACAACGTGCATGTTGTGCGCGTGGCTTTGTTACTATTCATCATGCAGATGGCACGTGTGTCAATTTGAATCAGATACATGTGACCGATAAAGGATCCCAAGGCACCGGGTCACTAGCATTGGCCAATTAACTGACAACAGTCTGGTTTTGATCTTTGCCAATAAAAAAAGAGCAAGAAGATATAAAAAAAAAGGTGTGAAGCTTGGAGAATCTGGGTATTTATTAACCTTTTAAAAGGGAATACTTGATGCCAAGAACTAAAATATATTCATATGTTATGATCATTTTGCTGTGAAAACTGTCCACAGAGAAAATCACATTCTGAGAGGAGAATCTCACACGCACAAAGTCTAACTTTCCTGTATTTGGTCTACCTACCTGTGCAGTTGGGGCCATAGTGTCTCGTGGAACACAGTGTGCAGGCTTTGCCTATGAAGCCTTCGTTGCACCTACATCTTCCTGATCCCTGCATGCCATCGTCGCATGAACCATGGTTACTACAAGGGGCCTCCAGGCCACCTGGACAAACTGAAACACACAGGGAAAAGGTGGAGTCAGGTGAGGACAAACGTAAGAGACACACCGTCACTGTGCTTCAAACCAACTTCTTTTCCTCACGGCTGACGTTTTGATTTTTCAGACACAGGTGTAACCAGTGGTGGAATGTAAGCTAAGTAAATGTACTGTGCTTAAGTCTGTCTTTTCATGCATCTTTATACTTCTACTCCACTAAATAATGTACTTTTTATTCCACTACATTTATCTAACAGCTTTAGTTCCATTGAAAATTAAGATGTCAGCATACTAACTCTCAGCAGAGCTTATAAATGATTATGTTTTGTTCTAAATGAAACTAGCCAACAGTTTTTAGCACAGCTGTACAGTCAAACTTTACTTGAAGCTAGGGTGCAAGACTGTAAAATATAAATGAACGTCTGTTAATTCAAGGGGCGTCTGTGGCGACATTCCTGCTCTGAGAACTCCAGAAGAATTATGATAGTTCTCAGAACGAGTAGAGTTTATCAACTTGACGTTGTTTCACGCCTGGTTCACTAAGAGCCGTCAACCAACCCTGCTCACTCTCTTACAGTCCTTCACAGTCGAGCAGCTTATTGTAGCTCTGTGACTGTTTACACACTATGTAATACTACCTGTATTACCCAATACCTTGTCAGGCAGCAAGGGTGGAGATATAGACAGCTAGGAGTATGACAGAAGCTATAGCGTCCATGAAAAGTGTCTGGAGTGACTGTTCCCGATAAAAAATAACCTAGATGTTCAAAGGAAAAATTAAAACAATTACAAAAGAACTTGATCGGCGGCGAAAGAGCACAGCTAGGGGAGATGTGGCGAGCTCACCTGCAAGCATACGTCAATAAGCAAGTCACTGGTGTGATTCAAATTCAGATTTAAATAACACTATTTTTATTATTCTCACTGCCAGCTGGAGGAGCCAGCTGGAGACTTTAAACAAAAGTTTAAAGTAAGGGGGGGGGGGGAGATGTTACCAACACAAAACCAACAGGATTAGTTTCTGGAACCATTACACAACTGCATCAGGTTAAGAATCTTAAATCAAATGTGCAGATTGCCATGAAATGTGTGCAGATTGCCATGAAATGAAATCTAGATTTGAATGACCTGTCCTTTGTGCCACCCTTAAGACAATCTTTACATTAGTAGCTCCACAAAGAGTAAAATAATAAACACTGGAGAATCTAGGGGGACAAAAGATTTTCTCCAGACCCCTGTGGGCTGGACTAGATGAATGTCTGACGACAGAATCATCAATCTTCCCTATGTGCCTTCCTTACCTTGACAGTCTCGGCCGTAGTGGTTTTTGCAGCACTTTTGGACCCAGGAAGAAAACTGACACACTCTCTTACAGCCCATCTTGCTGATATCATCCAAGAGGTACCAATGATGGTGGCGGCGCCCATACGGTGGGGACCTGTTCATACAAGGCTCCGTCTTTTGCTGAAAGAAGGCGGGACGTACGTTTATCTCTATGTATCGTACAAGCTAATCATTTTCCAATTTTTAACCAGATCTTACCGTGTCTTGGTGTCTGAAGGGACAGGATGGTGGGAAGGGGCAGCGTCCACAGCGACCCTGAGACATAAGACAGAAAGCTTCAGTCCAGGTTCCAAGACAACGACAAAGCCCTGACATCAAAATAATAACCACAGCAGTGTGGTATCTGTATTTGCAGCAGTGGTACTACCAACAATAGTTGAGGATGAAGCTGCATTAAGGCCCGGTCACATCGTTGGTGATGTAGGGACTACTCGCCGGGTTAGTTCAATTTGGTAAATCACCCTAATGCCAATCACTAACCCTAATCACTAACGCCAGTCAGTCACAATAGTTCTCAGGACTGTAGTTCATTTCATCCAATAAAGAGTTACTGATTAGGGAGAAAGCTTCTGTCGCATACCTGTCTGACATTCCTCTTTTGTAAATCACTATATACTCTGACAGAGAAAGTAAAATAAAAGCTAAAAAGTGACGATGGCTTCCTCCATTTTGGGTTCTCTGTTCCCCCAAAGGTCAGCACTGGCAAGACTTGAAGATTTACACAGATTCACTTTGTGCATACAAACACATCCACACAGTAATTCCATTGAATTGATTTGTGTGTTAAATGCTGGTGTGACTAGTCCTTTGGAGTCACAATGAGTGGCTAAGTGTGGCAGAGCTAATACTATAACTAATATCCCTATTTTGTAGCCACACTGCAGCACCATATTATGTATTAACTTGTAGTGTTTTGTACTTCTAGTCAGCTCACTAAGTCATGTTACATTTCAATGTGCCTTAGCTTTGGTTTTGTTATTGTGTCGCCAGAACTCTCCAAAAGAAAAAGAATGTCCAAATATGTCCTGATCTCAACAGACTATTCAAGTAAAACAGGTAATGATAGTTTGTACAAGTAATAGTATTTATTTTATTACAACTAGTACTAGCTGCAAAAGTGTGAACATGTATATTGTGAGTTTTAAAGCAGTAGCAGTATTGAAAGTAATAATTTTAGCACTACTAACGTAAGTGGTTCTGTTCTCCCCGCTGTCGCAGATCGCTCCCAGGCCCGGTGGTTCCAGTAGCTGGTCGATGCCATAGGCAACGCCCTCTTCGAAGTTCATGTAGCGCTCCACTACCCTGGCATTGTCATTAATCGATACAGCCCCCTGAACACACACACACACACACAAATCAATAACTTTTTAAGACTGTCCACCACAGCCACAGAACCAGAACAGAATAGATTAAAATAGAGAGATGGGACCATTGAACCCAGCCGCTGTTTGGCTAATTTTCTGTAACCAGTGTAGCATTAAAGCATGGTGAAATGAGCAAGCTAGCTCACTTTCCACCTGTAGGCGAGTTAGCCAGTTAGCGTGCTAATTCCGCCACGCTTTAAAATGCTACACTGGTTACAAAAAGAAGCCGAACAGGGTCTTCACTCGTCCAACGATAGCAATGTGTTTTCCTACGTCGTGACAAGAGTGTGGATGAAGCATTAAGTTAAAGCAAAAATGTACTCATTTACTACGCTTCATAACATTGTTACTTCAAAACCTCATTTCAGTGAGAGGCTGGTATGAAAGCTTCAAACTCTGGTGTGAATTAAATAAGCCGAGACTCCTCAATGCATCCCCCACCCTCCACATATAACAGATTTGTTTGTGGCTCAGTGTCAGAGCGGTTTGAGCCAAGACACTTAGCCCCAAATTGCATTTGGTTGCGCAACCCTGTTGTACAAGTATATTAGATGATCCTTGTAACCTTGAAGAAGAAAAAATTGAACTAAACAAGAACAATTAAAGACAGTTACAGTGACAATAGCAGCAAGTCAGCAAGTCCTCAAAGTAAACAGTGTACAACAGAATATATGATATGATTAAGTAAAGAAATTTGTATTAATACAGAAACATACTGCAAAAGAAATATAATAATGTAGTAAGACAGACAACATAATAATATAGTATGATATTGTACAGTATAATATAGTATGGGATATAAGATATAGTGTTAGGTACAATGTAATCCTACAGTACAGCAGTATAACATAGTATGGTATAGTATGATATAGTTTACCACAGTTAAGTATAGTGTGGTATAATGTAATATGACAGTAACATAGTATATTATCAAACCACCAGCTGTGTGAATTTCTGCACGATCATTCGCTAACACGGAGACACTTCACCTCTGAAGCGTGAATATAACATTATTTTCCTGATTCATCAGAAAACCAAACAAAGGCGTTGTTGTGTAACCTAGCAACCACACAGTTAAGAGCAGCATGTCCTGCGTTGGTCTCGACGTCACCGATCAACGAGGTACAGTATCAATCGAAATCACTTCATCACTGCTCGTACGGAGTTCATTGAGCGTCATGGTTAGGATCCAGGATGTTGTTGCTGTCAGTGTGAAACTGTGTTTTCTTCGACATCATCATGGCAACATGAGACAACACCGTTTACTGAAGTAACAGTCGGCTTCCAACATGGCTACCCTCTTTGAATTGTATGTGTGTGTGTGTGTGTATTTGTGTGATTTCTCACCACCAGGGTCTTATCACAGCTGTACTTGATGATGGATCCGTGCATGGTGCGCAATGACGAGTATTTATCCGGCTGACCGATACCTAAAACCTAAACACACACAAAGAAAATCACAACGCTGTCTTTCTAAAGCTACAACAGAGCCTCCCTCCCCCCTGCTCCTCATCCTTCACCTCCTCCTTTTGAAGAACTCTACAGTTTTAACAACTATTTGGATATCTGTATAATCATCCGAGTCGTGTTTGAGTCAAGCGAACATTTGCTGTTTTTCTTTGTCTTATATCTTAAAGACGGATATTGTAAATGGATGATTTTTGGGTTTTGAACAGTGTGGTTTGTTTGGAAAGAAAATCAAGACATCCTCATCTTGGGTTTTGGAAAACTGTGATTGACATCTTGACTATTTTCTTATATTTTAATAGACGAAACGGTTCATTCATTAAATAAATTAAACATAATGAATAACAACATAATAACAGGACTACACCTGATTTTTTAAAAATATTTGTTTTCTTTTTGGGCTAGAGTGAACTTTTCATTCTGTCGGCGCCCAATTAAGGGTTACGCTTGGAAGCCATCCTCCTACTGCCTACTGCCTTCTGCCTTCTCCCACCTCCTCCTCCACCTCCTCCTCCTCCTCCTACCTTGGAGTTGCGTATGATGTGAGCCTTGACTAAGGCAGCCACTTGGTCTCGGTGATCGGGGCTGGAGAGCCAGTGCTTTCTTTCAGCTGGCAGGGAGTTGAGGGCCTTGTCTGTGGGCCAGAACATGGTGAACGGCTGATGGATGGACAACTGAAGCACGGGGAGTAACCCCACATCCTGCACAAAGAGTGGACAGAAAGATTACGTGAATATTATGCGTGGGTCGATTTCTGTGAGTTTTCACCCCGCAAATAAAAGGCATCACTCCCACAATTATTATCACAATCACATTGCACTACAACACGGAGGCTCCGTGGTCTGACCCAAGACCACAAACTTTATTACTCCTTTCAACATTGACAAAGGCAGTGCACACCAGATCCATTCTTTTTGTACTTACCTTTGACAATAAAAGGCCTAGACATATACAGTAACTACATAACTGTTAACCAGATGAAACTCAAATTCAATCAGAATATTTCGCCAAAAGGAAACTCAATAAAATAGCTTAAAGTAGCTTAGGCTATATAAGAGATAAATTAATTGAATTCAATAGTTGGTCCTTTGCTTGTGCAATCTATTTGTCTGTTATATATTCTTCACATTCCAGGTGTGTGAAGTGCAGGACGTTGCTGGATTCGGTTCGTGTTGCGGGATCTTTGAAGCTGCTGGTGTTCTCCTCCAACTGGCCTTAAGTGGTAGTTACGTTTTTTGTGCTCTCGGATTTAAAAAAAAAAAAGGTGAAAGGAGGAGTTGACATCAAGGAAGTGATTCTAGGAGGATAAGCAGTGACAGAAGGAGGAAGACAAGTAGGTGTAAGAAGAGGATGTGTAAGTGGGGGGAGGCAGCATGGCAGAGGAGGAAGAAGACGTCAGAGCACAAATCAAACCAGGAGGTGCAGCGTGTTTTTAAAATGTTTACCTCCACAAGTTTGTAGAAGCGGCTGTAGCCATAAAACACAGCTGCTGACGTTAAGTTCATCTAAACAGAGAAAGAGAGAGAGAGAGAGAGAGAGAGAGAGAGAGAGAGACGTCACACTGGCTGTCTTTCAATCCTGATGGATCATAAATCGTTTATTAATTTCAAGTAAACTCAACTTACCTTGTTAGACTCGATGCTTGGTTTGTCCTGCAGCCTGTAGGGCGTCAACAGTGTGTCGATGTGGTGAATGACTCCGTTAGAAGTGGTGTAATCGCTCTTCACAATCCTCGATCTGTTGTTGACCCAGACTGAACCCTGCAGGAGAGCGAGGGACAGGGAGAGGTGAGGCAGACAGGCAGCAGCAAACACCAGGAGAGTGGAGAGGTGGATTGTGAGACAGGTGAAGACATGGAGGCAGTTTGAGAAAAGGGGTTATCAGCAATGTTTAGCTCAAAGTTCATTTCATACAGACTATTTATGAATAAAGTTCACTCCCCAAAATGAAGTGGTTCACGTTCATTTCTTCAGTTTTCAAAATAAAAATAAAAATGTTATACTTATTTATTGAAATCCAAACATTCACATTTTGTTCTATGTTTTAGCATCAAAATGCCCATAAAAAAATCATCTTAAATAGTGTTATGGCTGGACCTTTATTGATGCTGAGTAGAGCTGCCGTCCTCCACAAATAAACATGTGTGTGTGTGTGTGTTACCTGCTGCAGGCTGAAGTGCAGTGTGTGTCCTGACGTAGAGACAGCGAGTTTGGTGGTTTTCAGGTCACTCAGGGTCAAAATCTCACAGGAAACAATGTGGTAACGAAGCAGCTCAGAGAGACGACCGGACCGCTCCCATTCCTCAACCTACAAACACCAGTTAATGAGGTACATTTCATGCACTAGAAACCATAATCCAGTCTTATGACTCACACACAAAAATGTACTTGATTATTAAATCAGAATCAGAAAAATGTACTTACTTATTAAATGATTATTAAAGTGATTCATCTTGTAAATTACAGTATAGTTTTTCTAGGTAAGACACTTAGATCTAAGATAAACAAAAACTCATGAGTAGGGTAACATCATTATTATTACATGAGATCATTTAAAAACAGCAGATGTTGTACACACAGTGGAGTCGTTTGTTTCCGCTAGAGGGACGAAGACAGTAGACGGTCCGTCTTTATTAAGAACACGAGACGTTGATTTCTGAGGAACAAAGAAAACAAAGTGAACTCACGCGATGACGGAAGTTCATATAGGGGACGCTGTCACTGCAGAAAAATTAATTTAAATTAAACTTGTCTTTTTTGTTAGTTGTAACTTTTTTTAACAATTTAATTGAATCATGTGTAGGCAGGGCAGGCACCGAAAAATTACTTTTGGCCAGCTGCTGTGCTCTGTCTTGCAGTCGTGTATATTGCAAACCATCCATGTTTTCACTTAGCAGCATCAAATGAATGTTTTATTTACTGTGTGGATTTCAACATGACTCACCGCTACCATTCGACGGAAGAAGTCATTCTCTGATTGGCGGAACACCTCCTGTAAGACAGACAGACTTCCTGTGATGGGGGAGGGGGGGAGACAGTGATAGGTCAGAGGGTCAGGGGGAAGTCAGAGGTCATGTGACTCACGTTGTTGGTGGTTCCCCGGCAATTGATGCCGTCGCCCACGTGGCCTCTGTAGCAGGTGCAGTTCCTCTGACCCTGACCCATATACTCACAGCGAGCATGCTGACTGCAGCCGCCATTTCTCTGCACACACAAAAATGTATCTTTAATTGCTGACAAAAGGACACGCTTGGATGTTTCTGATTAGTTGAGTCCTCAGTTAGTCCGTCTGCAGCAAAGGTCTTAGCTCAGTGCCGGCTTTAGCCTAGCTGTCGCACGGAGCAAATGTTTCAAACGTTAATCAAAAATGCTCAGAACAGCAGGTGGAGTTGAAGTGAGCGTCAACAAAAGCCAATCACTTGAGCTCCTTGTTAACCCTTTAAAAGCATGTCGCAGATTAATGAGCTGAGAGCTTAAATGGAGGAAACTGCAGGAGTATCGTCCGTTTCAGTGTGTATTTGATATGCACAAACCGATCCAAGACATCATTTATATCTGTGCAATGTGGGCAATAACTTGTTTTTTTTTGCTGATTGATTAAATAGATAGCAGCTAACTTTAGAAATCCTGCTGCCACCACAGAATATATTTTCATTATCTAGAGAAAATGTGGTTTGGAGATTTGCTTTGAAATGGGGCGACTGTGGCTCAGTGGTAGAGCGGGGTCGTCCTTCAATCAGAGGATCGGCGGTTCAATCCCCGGCTCCGCTAGTACATGTCGATGTGTCCTTGGGCAAGACGCTTCACCCCAAATGGCTGTGCCTGCGTAGTATGAACGGTGGGTGGATGGTTAATTAGAGTCCTGATGGTCCCTGTCATCAGTGTATGAGTGGGTGAATGATGACATGTAGCGCTTTGAGTGGTCGCGTTGAGAGAAACGTATAAAAATTGTAAACACAAATCATATTGTGCTCCCTTGCAATATACTGTACATGCATTAAAGCTCAGCAATATCACACTTAGACAGAATGCACATCTTGCCTACAAGCTGCTTCCTGTTAACCGGAAACAGAAAAACCTAATTAGGACATGATGTACACTATGTCCCCAGAGCCTCTTCCTGTTATCAGAAACCTAACGACTGTCACATCATGTGACAGGGAGATAACAGAACACATAAATACCAAGGACTCCGGTCTCAGTCTCAGACTGCGCTCTTAACAGAGAACATTTAGCTTTTCGCTCTTCACAGAGAAACATAAACACGCCTTAACGGAACAAATAGCATTATAAATCATATCCTTCGGGACATAACATATATACAGTTGTGTGAAAAAGTGTTTGCCCCCTTCCTGATTTCTTATTTTTTTGCATGTTTGTCACACTTAAATGTTTCAGATCATCAAACAAATTTAAATATTAAATGCAGTTTTTAAATGAAGGTTTTTATTATTAAGGGGAAAAAAAAAAAATCCAAACCTACATGGCCCTGTGTGAAAAAGTGATTGCCCCCCCCCCCATGTTAAAACATAAATTAACTGTGGTTTATCACATCTTTGGAAAGCTGAGTTCAATTTCTCTAGCCACACCCAGGCCTGATTACTGCCACACCTGTTCTCAATCAAGAAATCACTTAAATAGGACCTGCCTGACAAAGTGAGGTAGACCAAAAGATCCTCAAAAGCTAGACATCATGCTGCGATCCAAAGAAATTCAGGAACAAATGAGAAACAAAGTAATTGAGATCTATCAGTCTGGAAAAGGTTACAAAGCCATTTCTAAAGCTTTGGGACTCCAGCGAACCACAGTGAGAGCCATTATCCACAAATGGCGAAAACATGGAACAGTGGTGAACCTTCCCAGGAGTGGCCGGCCGACCAAAATTACCCCAAGAGCGCAGCGACGACTCATCCAAGAGGTCACAAAAGACCCCAGAACAACATCCAAAGAACTGCAGGCCTCACTTGCCTCAATTAAGGTCAGTGTTCATGACTCCACCATAAGAAAGAGACTGGGCAAAAATGGCCTGCATGGCAGAGTTCCAAGACGAAAACCACTGCTGAGCAAAAAGAACATAAAGGCTCGTCTCAGTTTTGCCAGAAAACATCTTGATGATCCCCAAGACTTTTGGGAAAATACTCTGTGGACTGACGAGACAAAAGTTGAACTTTTTGGAAGGTGTATGTCCCATTACATCTGGCGTAACAGTAACACGGCATTTCAGAAAAGGAACATCATACCAACAGTAAAATATGGTGGTGGTAGTGTGATGGTCTGGGGCTGTTTTGCTGCTTCAGGACCTGGAAGACTTGCTGTGGTAAATGGAACCATGAATTCTGCTGTCTACCAAAAAATCCTGAAGGAGAATGTCCGGCCATCTGTTCGTGACCTCAAGCTGAAGCGCACTTGGGTTCTGCAGCAGGACAATGATCCAAAACACACCAGCAAGTCCACCTCTGAATGGCTTAAGAAAAACAAAATGAAGACTTTGGAGTGGCCTAGTCAAAGTCCCGACCTGAATCCGATTGAGATGCTGTGGCATGACCTTAAAAAGGCGGTTCATGCTCGAAAACCCTCCAATGTGGCTGAATTACAACAATTCTGCAAAGACGAGTGGGCCAAAATTTCTCTACAGCGCTGTAAAAGACTCATTGCCAGTTATCGCAAACGCTTGATTGCAGTTGTTGCTGCTAAGGGTGGCCCAACCAGTTATTAGGTTTAGGGGGCAATCACTTTTTCACACAGGGCCATGTAGGTTTGGATTTTTTTCCCCCCTTAATAATAAAAACCTTCATTTAAAAACTGCATCTTGTGTTATCTTTGTCTAATATTTAAATTTGTTTGATGATCTGAAACATTTAAGTGTGACAAACATGCAAAAAAATAAGAAATCAGGAAGGGGGCAAACACTTTTTCACACAACTGTACATCTGCTTGCTTACGAGAGGCCTAAAACAGACCGGCCGAGGCTCTCGTGTCATACTTGATATCTAGAAAAGCTGAAGAGAGAAACGCAACAGTCGGAAGACTAAAAAAAGCACAGACTGTTTACCATTCAACATCCTAATGGTGATCACTACAGTCCAAACCCGCTCACTGTACAAACTGTGTGGAACAGCTCAATGCCTACAAGGTGAATGAAATAATCAATGACGATACCCGACTGTGTGATCTGTTTTTAAGAGCTGGTTTGTGCTGGCAGAGATGCAAGTAAACAGGATTGTAACAAGACAGAATAAAGTAGATGACTGCAAGAAAATCTGCAAAAGTGACACACAGACATACATTTCTGCAGGGGTTGACAGGGTAACAGAACCTCCCTGATCCTTGAAAGCCCATCCGACACCTGCAGGCCGTCTGGAGACAACAACAGAGCAGACAGAGAAAACAGTCAGTCAATAAAAGAGTCAATTACAAAATCCATCTGTTTCCTCCCCTCCCCTGTGATCTGCTAAACAGCAAATCAAATAACAATTTCTCCTGAACTCCAAGTCACTCTTTTGAGCTGTAAACACAGATATATAGTTTCAGGCGGGAGGTTACTGTAATGACAACAGCTGGGCTTATTGGCATATAAAATGCGTGATCCCAGAGATCACAGTGGACTGTGACCGAGTGTTCAACCTCTGTTCAGTGTCCCGCTCTCTGCGGTCACCTACACCGTGTTTTAATGCAGCCGAAATTACGATATTGTTGTTGTTATTTACATGTTTTTTTATGTTTCTGGTGTCAGACAACTTAAAGAGTATGAAATAGTAACGTACTCATGGCCCATAAACACTACATGTTATGCAGCAGTCATTCCCAAGCTGCTGTGCTGCGGTAATAAGGTTGTCTAATAAAATCGTAAATTTAAATATTGATTAACGACCACAGCTCCTCTGCTGTGTTCAGCTGTAGAGGTGAATGACCAAAGAGAAAAGTTTGAGGTAAAAGAAAGTCCTCCTTAACTTTACTGGCACACAGTCTCTCAGAGGGCAGACTTCATTACGGTCTTGGAAAAGCTTAGTGTTCCCCGAACACACTAAAACACCAAGCCAGGGCTGTTGACACGCTGGAGGCTGTTTCGTGAAATCTTAGTTTTTCAGGGAGCTAAAAACTGTTTTCGGCTACGTCCACACAAATACATTTTTGTTTTAAAACACATTTTTTTGCTAAATTTAAGCCTCGCATCCACACTTGTTTTCTTTGTTTTGAAACCCCTAAAATGGAAATGTGGAAACATTAAAAAACGCTGCTGACCCAGTTTTAGTCTTACAACTCCGGTATCACTTTTTATTCTAGACGGGCGAAAATGGAGACTTTTGAAAAAGATGGCCATGAAACCCTGCAGCGACACAATCGCCTCATGATTGGGTCTTACTAGTCCCGCCCCTATCACATGACCCTTTTCCAGAAGAAAACAAACATCAGCCTCAACTACCGGTGGTTAATTCAGCATGGACAACAAATTACAGGCGTCACTGACCTTGTTGTGTATGCTGGCAGCTGTCATGCAGTAAAGTTCTGTATTTTATGATGCTAATACTGCCTACATGCGCAGGAGAACAGCTTTTATTTGAGCAATTTGCAGCAATTCCTGTGTGCAGCAGCACTAATCTGCCTCCTGTTTACTCCTGGACACGAAAACTCAGATTACATGAATATGCATTATGTGATATGCATTTTCAGGCGTGTTAGTATGGACGGAGATTATTTCTGAAACGGCACTAAAAACTCTTCTGTGCCTGGAGATTGTGTATTGGATGTATTACTGTCGATGTAGCCTTAGAAATAGAGAAACATTTAACCGGTTTAATGAGGACGTATTTTTACTTTATCAAACTGCATAACCAACATGAATGGTGGCCAAAAGTATAAAAATAAAACTTTTCTTTAAACCTCACCTGAACTGAACTAAATCTCAGGTACAGTGAAGCCTCAGTGCTGAATCATTATGAGTTTAACATTATGTGCCGTACTGCAGTGCGGTGTTGTCTCACCGTGTTGGGGCCTGTTCTGGTGCAATCCGCTGACCTGTGGCAGCCTCCATTGTTGACCAAACAACCGTCAACCTCTGTGAACACACAAACAGGTTGAAAATATATTTTTATGAAATCATGTAAAAAAAAATAAATAAAAAAAAAAAATAAATAAAAAAATTGTGAGGTAAAGAAACATTTAAGGCCTTAAATTAACCAAATTTCATATATCAAGACATATCTTGGTAAGATGTCAGGAGGTTCAGGTGAGGGCTGTGGGGTCAGAGGTCAGGGGTCAGGACTACATACCCAGACAGATGACCCCGTCTCCAATGTACCCCCCTCTACAGGTACAGGTCCTCTCTCCTGCTGAGACCTTCAAGCAAACGGCAAATTCTGAACATCCACCGTTAGACATGTGGCACAAATCCAGCTCTGAGAGACACACAGAGAGAAAAAGTAATCAGATTTGATATATTTACAGTGTGTGTGTGTGTCTGTATGTGTGTGTGTCTTTACCATTGCAGTGAGTTCCGTTGCCTTCGTATCCAGCCACACACACACAGGCAGCAGCTGTACCCTTTGGTCCCGTTATACAGCTGCAGCAGAGGACAAGGTGTATCATTAGTTATATTGATATGTTATAATGTATACATCTTATTCATCTGTACCAAAGAGCTCCATTTAGTCCCAAACTATTAAAAACACATCAATGAGCCACACTGTTGGGTGACATGTTCCTTCAATACCATGAACACACACACACTGTAGTATATTTTGACTCAATCACACATAAACCGTCCTGCGGCCACAAATACTCACTAGAGCACCAATTGTAAATTGAATCCGCCGCTGAAAATAGTCCCAAACAAATGCACTATTTAATTCTGTTTCAGCAGCCACAGAATGTGCTTATCTGTGCTCTTAACCATCTGACCCATGAGTTCCTTTTTCGTTTTTTAAATTTCAAATCTTTACTTGACTGGTTTTATTGTTTTAATTTACAACAATTAGTTTTATTCCAGTCTCTGAATCCTTCAAGATGCTTCAGCTCAACAATCAATATAGCTTTAAAAATTAGAAACTATAGGTAGATTTAGATGCATATTGTTAATGATAATGAAATGATAGCAGCATTGTTTGAGTGAGTTAAACTTAGTTTGACTTCATCTATTTTCTAAATGTTATTTTAATGAAACTATTGAGCAGTGATGTCATACGTTATTCATTTTTAATTGTGACTTTTTGAGCATAGCATTAGCTACTTCGCATGTTTCTATTATTTTGCCCAAAATATTAGAAAAACCGTTCAATATAATCCATCCAGTACAAAACCACCAGCTACTACTACGTCAATAACAAACATCAAGTAGAATTCACAAAACTGAACATTTGTCAGCTTCGTAAATGTAGAATATATCTCTTTGCACCAGATTGCACTAGTTGAACCTAATTAAGTGGCCAGTGAGTGTAATCAGTAAACACTGTCCACTGTCCTCAGTCTTTGTGTGAAACAGTCAATGCATGATGATGGTTATCTCTCAGTTAGTATCTAATATATCATGACTGCTTTTTATGTTGCATTGTTTCTGTGGGATAAAGTGAGTCCTCAAATAAAAGGTTTAACCATTCTCAACATGCTATAGTGAATAGTAAATGATTCCAGACAGCCAGGTGTATTCTGGGTAAATTGATTCAGATCTCACACACACCTTTAGACTGAACAAAGGGAGGACTTACTTGGCGTTCTCGTCACATACACCTCCACAGGCGTCATCCTTGATCTCTGAGACACACACACAAAGATTTTAGGTGATAGCGGGTGAGAGAAAATATTGAGTTTGGTTACACTGCGTGTGTGTGTTTGTGTGTCTCTTACCTACAGAGCAGGAAGCTCCTTTCCAACCTTTGTGACACACACACCTGCCACTTCCTGACAGACCGTCCTCACACTTCCCGTGGTCACACACACACTCTGCAACACACACACACACACACACACACACACACACACACACACACACACA